AATTGGAGGAGCCCAGGTGCAGGAGGAATGTCCCATGGAGCAGAGGAAAGTCCTTTCCTCCTAATCAGGAGGCGGAGGAGCAGCAGGCGGAGTACAGTAGAAGCAGGGGCAGCAGGGGGTCATATTTTTCCATAGTTGACAAGGAGGAGCAGCCAGGACGAGGTCAGGAGCATCAACATCAACATCAGCCGGAGCCGCTCCGGGACACGAAGGCAACCTCGGTGGGGGGGTCAGGAGCAGTGGCCCAAGGAACAGCAGCAGCAGGAGCAGAGCACAGGCGCAGGGGGACACGCAGTGCAACAACGCGCAGTGCAACAATGCGCAGTGTGTAGAAGCGGAGGTCCTTTTTTGGCCTAATTTCGACAAGTCAGCCAGTCAGCAGAAGCCAGTCACGGCCCCCAACCACACACTGACCGACCCACCGACCCACATTTGCCGCCGCCGCCTCCACATCTCGCCAGATGGCCTCCGCACGGTCGCTGCCGCTCAGGGCAATACCCGCCGTAGCCAGTGCCGGCAGGTAGGTCTCCGCTGAGGACACCACCAGCTCGGGGGCGGGGGAGTTGCGGAGGACCCTGGTGGTGCGGGCGGCCTGCGGCCAGGGGGGTATATAGGGGGGCCCCGGGGGGAAAACAGACCATGTTTGTATGTGTGTCTGTCTGTGTGCGGAGGTTGGGAAGTGCGAGTGTATGTGCCTGTGTGAAGCGAAGAGGGGCGGCGGTAAGGAAAAGAAATCTCGCCGCGATTCCGACATGTTATGATCTCAAACAAAGGTCCCCGAAGCGGACCCCCCCTAGAGCTCCACCCCCGCTGGAAGAGAGCCAGGTAAAACAAAGGCGGGGAAATAATCTGATCAGGTCAGGAGAGACAGAGAACCGAACACGCTGGTGGGATAGCCGATGGGAACGGACACCGGGCAGATATTGTAATACAGTAGACGATCAGGAAAAGGATACGGAAGAGAGGAAAAGTACGGCGCTGTTGTACCTGCAGGCCGCCGTACACGAATGGCAGTACGACATCGCCGTGCAGCGCCAGCAGCCACCTCATGGGCCGGCTGAAAGACGCGCCATGGCCGTTCCATCTCATGGATTTCTTGAACGACAGACTGCCCACCAAGCCCGGCAGCTCGTCCGTCAAAACCTGCGAAAGCGCGCCACCAACCTTTGCGTGTTTTCTTTTCCCTTCACACAAGGATAAGTTCGTTCGCTGCCCCCTGCTGCCCTTCATGGAGCATTTCCTTTCGGTATGAAACAATACTTCCTCTCCCATGTATTCACCTTCCTCTCACATTTGGGAAGAAACGAAAGAAAGCTCCGGTTGTGGAAATCCGCTTCTCGGAGGATTCGAAATGCGGCGGCTGCCAGGCAAATGCACGGCATCTATAGAAAACCATCCTCCTCACCCTCGTCACCCTGCTGCTGCTCATCCCCCTCCCGGCCTATACCCATCGCAGCCATCAATGCCAAACGATAGAAAGAACTACTACTACCACTACCACTACCACTACTACTATTACTACCACTACCACTACCACTACCACTACTACTATTACTACCACTACCACTACTACTACTATTACTACTACTACTACTACTAATATTATAGAACTACAGGAAAACAGTTACGGGAGAGAAAGCCCAGACACGCACCTCAACCGCGTCGCGTCCCGCATCACGCACCACCGCGTACACGTACTCCACCCCCTTGGCGTCCGCCTCCCGTGTCACCGACCCCACATCCACGCCGTTCTTGCGACAGAAGCCCTCCAGGGCCTTGGTCGGGGAGCCGTCCGCGGAGAAGGCCTGCTTAGCCGGGGGACCGCGAACCTGCGCCAGTGGGTGCGTGTGCGCCAGTGGGTGTGTGTGCGAGTGCGGCCGGACCCGGTGTGAGAAGGGTGGATGGACTGAAAGGCGCGAGGGTGTCGTGGTGTACGTATGTGTGTATGTACGTATGTATGTCGCGTCGCGTGTGTGCGTGTGCTTTAATTATCTCTAGGCTGCGGACAGTAATTATTTAACTGGCGAGGATAGTAGACGAGTATCGTTACCGCACGTATGTATGTATGCATGTATGTATGTATGTGTATGTATGTATGTGCCCCGGGTATGCTTCCTCCCTACCGGTGGTGTGTGCTCAAGTGACGTGAGCCGCGAGGTGGGCTTGTGGGTGGGTGAGCGGAGGCGCGCAGGCGAGCACACCCACCTTGGCCTCCTCGGACGCCTGCCGGGCCGCCAGCCCCTCCACAACCACCGCCAGGCGGCGGGGAGTGCCCTCCACATGCACCGAACCATGGGTCAGTCGGAGCTTGGACAGCAACGCAGGAACGCGCTCCCTGCCGATGTGCATGTGTGTATGTGCATGTGTGTGTGCGCGGGAATTAGGGACTCATTAAGGATTCCGGGAAGGGGGGAAAGATGAACCACAAACGAGGGAAGCTGCCGGGAACGGGGGGAAAGACGAACGGGGGGGAGGAGCAGGTGGGAGACTGGGAAAGGGAAAGACGTGGTGGGCGAGGGGCTGTTTGCAGCATTGCTGGCACGGGTAGTATGCGCGTTTCTACTTGCGAACACGTATGCATGTCGCTTTAGTTTCCCGTTCATCCAACCCGTCCATCCCTTCCCAACCCAGCCGCACACACTCGGGGCCCCTCACGCCCCTCTCCCCCTACAAGGGAGAAGAGTGTTTCGGTGGTCATTCCCGTTGGGTTACGGTCAGGTGCCCCTGGCCAGCGTCAGGCCCCGATCGATATGTAACAAATACACATACGCACACAGCCACACCCCTCAATTCTCACACGCACGCGTACTCACCCGCACACACACACACACACGCACATACACACACACACCTCCCACCTCAGCTGGTTCAACGCAGACACCACATCATCCGGCGGCAGCTCCTCAGTGCCGATCTCCAACACGAAGCTCCGGGGCTCCAGGGGGGCACCGACTGGCCGGCTGGAAACCGGGCTGGCGGGCGGAGGGATAAGGCCCAGCGGGTGGCCCAGCTCCTCGCGGCGCGATACCCACAGACCTGTGCGCAACATTGCGTAGGTGGGGGTGAGGGGGTGAGGGGGTGAGGGTGAGGGGGTGAGGGTGCGGGGCGCCAGGGGGCCCAGAGGGAGCGGTTCCGGAGCAGCAGCCGTGGGTGGGTGGGTGGACAGGTGCGGTGGGGGGATGGGTGGAGCAGAGCAGCGGCAGCCGCCGCGGGTGGAGAGAAGAACGGGGCAGAGGGGCGGGGGTGGGGGAGGCTACATCCGGATAGGGAAATGGGATGAAGGAAAAGGAGGGGAACAATAGATACGGGTGACGAGACGAACAAACGAACGAAGGAATGAATGAGTGATTGATTGAATGATGGACAGAACTAAGCCCCGCCGGGCTCCCCCCCCGCTGTCCCCCACCTACCTCGCCACCCACCCACTACCACCCATCCACTCACCGGTGATCTCCCTGGCCAGGCCCCGCAAAGTGGCGAAGCAGTCGGCTCGCTCCGTGACCCCCACCGCGCCGCGGGCGTCCAGGATGTTGAAGGTGTGCGAGAGCTTCAGGAGGTGGTCGTAGGCGGGGATGGGCAGGCGCTTCGCCAGCAGGCGACGGGCCTCTCTACAACACACGCACACATTCAAAATGGCGAGGAAATGGAGGAGGAAGTTGAGGAAGCGGAGGAGGAAGCGGAGGAGGAAGAGAGGTTGGTAGTTGAAGGATGGTATCCATTCAATTATTTACGACCAGTACGAAACGCACTCTTGCACACACAAAACACACATACACATGCACATGCGAGTGCGCTATCCTCGCTTCCTTTCTCTAATTGTCTCAAATGTGTTCGTCCAACCTCGTATACGCCTCCAACCCGGTCTTTTCTCCCACTCACTTGTCGTACAGCTCAAACCGCGCCCGCTGGTCCGCCACGTCAGCCTCGTCCAGGTTGTAGCAGGACATCTCGTACTCGTTCTGGTAAAACATCTCGCCGTACGTCACGCCGGGGGCGTACCTGCATATCGTACCGTGCATCGTACACCGTGACATACAAGGTTCATTATGCACAATGGAAACCCAACCATTTGCACAACTGGTTGGGCCTTCTCGGCTCTCACATATGCAGCGCATTCACGTCTCCGTCTGTACTGCTACCCCAAGCAGGCCATTCCTCCACATACACACACATACACACACAAGTGGGGGGCCCCTCCCAGCTCTTCGTTTCCAACCGTAGGAAAGACATGTGAAGAGGAGGAGGAGGACAATACCATTGTATGACCTATCAAGTGACACCGCACTTCGCAACGCGCACGAGAGAGAGAGAGAGAGAGGAACTCATCATCGGAGAGGAAACCCACCGCGGGGGCCGCGGGCGCCGGTGCCGCCTTTGAAAGAATACAACAGGTAAGGTAACCCTCATATCCATAATAACCAAGCAATAAGGCGGTGTAATAGGATTTCTTTTCCAATCCTCTCCCTCTGTCCATCCCTTTCTCCAGGCAGCAGACAGCAGTAGCAGGAACAACAGCAGACAGCAGTAGTAGCAGTAATCAAAGATCCCGCTCCAGCCCCACCTGATGTCCTTGAAGTTGGTCACCCCCTGGAGCGACATCATGATGCGCTCCAGGCCATACGTGATCTCAACAGCCGGGGCATCCAGAGCACGACCGCCCGCCTGCAACAGAGACCCACGGGTCGCTGGGATGGAGAATACAATGCTGCTGCTGCTGCTGCGCTGCTGCTCAGCACGATTTTCCTCGCACACATGCGAGACATGGAACTTCATCCTTTGCCGGCCTTCACCTCGAAGGCGCAGATCTCACCCCCCTCACCCTCACACACACGCACGCATGGGTGTATCTCTTCCGGATACACGCAACTCACGGCTCACTGCATTGCATTAAAAACATACAGACATACAGACATCCACATACATACATACATTGTGGCAGGCGGCTGGCAGAAGTTAAGGCCTGACTTCTGCTCCCAGTCGACCCAGTCGACCCGGGTTCAAATCCGCCTGCCAGCTCCTCGGGTGTTTGAGGAGCGATGAAATGGGAGGTGGCCCCCCATCATATGGACGGTGTAGGACGTGATAATATCAACTTGCGAGCTGACCAGGAACTAAGTTGATGCGCCGTTGATCCGCTAGATTTGGTTGGATGCTGGTGGTGAGTTGCCGAACCCAACGAATACACTCTGAAGTCGGATGGGGTGACGGATTAGGGTGCCCCTCTAGCAGGGGAGAGCAGGGACTGCCCCGGGAAAGGGGGCCGCTGGCGAAGTTAACCACCCTGTAACAACATACATACATACATAAACACACACCTGTTGGAAATACGTGAACTGGGTGACCTCCATTCCATCCAGCCACACCTCCCAGCCCAGGCCCCAGGCGCCCAGCACCGGGCTCTCCCAGTTATCCTCTACGAACCGAACATCGTGTACCTTTTTGATTTTGATTTTGGGGGGTTGGGGGGGTAAATTGGGACGTGGGGCGGTTGGGGCGGGGTGCGTGAGGGGCAGGACGTGAGAACGTCCCCCTGACGTAACCCGGGCGGGTACATGGCGGGAATCGTAGGCTATACACTGAAGCTGAATCCGCTAGCGGGCAGCGGAGAATGGGGGAGGAGAGGGACGCGGGGCTAAAAAAGGTACGGAAATTAGGAGTGAGGAGAGGCCAAAGGATCAAGTGCCGTCTCAGGGCCAGGCTCCACATCCACGCAACATCAGGCGCCCCCCTCCCCCTCCCCCTCTCCCCTCCCCCTCTCAGCTCCCCCTCTCCCGCCAAACGGAGGACTCAGTTTCTTCCCAGACCCCCAAGGCCCCTCAAGATACTTCTTACAATCCATAAATGTTTCTCCGGAAATGCAATTTTGCCGCCCCCTTCCTATTTGTCTTCGGGCCATGTGCTCTGCTGCTCAGCTCACAGACCCCTCCCCCCCGGCGCACAGCCCCTGACCAACAACACCCGACACGGTGGTCATGTGTCCCCGCCGCCATGTCGTCCCCCCCTCTCCGCATCCCTCTAGCACCTGCCTCAACTAAGCCTGACCCTACTTGCACCCCCTTTCAGGCAGCTATATCCTCCCACCACACCTCCAGTCCCACCACCCGCTTCCCGACCAAGCGGCCCGGCCTCGTCTTGTCGTACCCCGGGCGCCCCTTGTCTGCGGGGTTTGTGGGGGGGAAGGGGCGCCCTCCCCCTCCCTCTCCCCTCGCCCAGGCAGGCAAGCAACAGCTTCTGGCTCATCGGCTCTACAAACTGCCCCTGATCCCCTCCATTCTACTTTGCTGCCTCCTTCATTCTCCTCACAGCCACCTCCATCCCCACACGTCGGCGAAGCCTACGACGCCGTGGACCTACCTCCGGGCAGTAAGAGTCGCGCTACCTGTTAGCTCCCCCATATCGCCTTCATCATTCGGCACCCCGTATCTCCCCCATATCGCTCTCTAACCTCGACCCGTTTCCCCCGGCCCCAACCCCCACTCCCCCCCCACACACACACCGCCCCCAGCCCACCTTGGTATCAATGCCCAGTGCCTCCAGACTGCCCAGGTACAGCTCCTGTGCGTTGCCGGGGTCCGGCTTCAGGATTACCTACAGCAGTAGCAGTAGCAGTAGCAGCAGCAGAGCAGCAGCGGACATGCACGGACGCAACTCTGTGTGCTCAGATGGAAAGGATCGAATGGCAGTTGAGGCGCAACCACACACGCGCACACAAGCACGCACGCCTCGTTAAGCCTTAATTACGCATGCAGCCACAACAACAACAATATTAACCCCGCTCCATTATTGTTTATGTATACTGTTCCAACAACAACAACAACAACAACAACAACCATCCCGCAGTTGCCCTCCCTCTCCCTCCTTTCCTCTCCTCATCCCCACCACCTCTTCGCCCCCCCCTCCCGTCCTCCCTCCTGCGGCATTACCTGGAATTGCGTATGGCGCTGCAGGCGGTTGGGATTGTCGCCGTACCGCGAGTCGTCCGGGCGAATGGAGGGCTCCGCGTAGGCCACGTTCCATGGCTCCGGACCCAGCACGCGCAGGAAGGTGGCGGGGTTCATGGTCCCGGCTCCAACCTGCGCCACGAGAATTTAATTTAATTCTCAACTCCAGTTTCGATTTGGGTCTTACCTCATCTGAGTTTTTTATTTGGGTTCTCGTTATTTTGGGATTTGTTATTTTGGTTTGAATTGGGCTTAGGGGTTGGGGGGATTTGGGGGGTTTGCATTTTAAATTCCTAAGTCGTGTTCGCTTCGGGGGTTACGTCCACGTGGGGATGCGGGGATACACTCAGGTCTCAGGAATCGTAACGGGGACCTAACGAGGGCGTCTTCTGCAAGGAAGAGGAGAAGGAAAGGGACCCAGAAATCGGGGGAGATACCCGACCGCTGTAGGTGCCTGTTGAATCAAGGCCCTCGTAGGTGTCGGTGTGCGTTTGCTGGGGCGTTTTTATATCCCTAACTGTGCGTTACGGGGCCACATGGGTTTGCATGCCGCAACGAGTGAGCCCGTCAACCTGCACCTCCCCACATTTCACATTTCGCTGTACGTGGCATCGCGTGTTAGGTGGGGGACTCGAACCCGTGACTGCGCACCTCGGTGTTGTGGGGCAACCAGATGGCGCAGCCCACGGAGGCCCAATACTCCTGGAGCTTGGAAATCGCCTCTTGGAAGGTAGGAGCGTCCTTCACGAGACCGCTGGGCTGCGTTGTTTGGCCGTTAGAGCCGTTATTGGGAGCGGGGGATGCTGCCACGACGATGGGGTTCGGAGCGGCGGTGGCCGCCGGAGACGCTGCGCTTGCACGGATGAGGCTGCGAGCGGCGTGGGGCATGACCGCGCCAGAACCGGGCCGCAGCGACTGAGCTGTAAGCTGCGTCAAAAAGCGCAGCCGTTCACCCTGCTTGTGCTGCTTGAAGGGCGTGAAGCCCCGGACGGGAGCGCCGAGCAGGTTCATCGGTACCGTCTGCGTACACGCGTCCCGGGACGTGAGGCAGTGACCAAAGTTTTTATTATGTTGATAGGGATGTTTACGGTTTGTGCAAAGCGTCGGCGCTATTTGGGTTGCTTCGGTGAAGCCTAGCTCTTTCCGCTAAGGCGTGCACCAACAAAATTCAGTAGGTTAGACACAGAAAATATATTAAGCGACTAAGGAAAGAGAGCAGAGAGGAATGCTGCTGGCCGAGCTAGTAAATACCTGGTGGCAAAGACGTGATAGTGAAAACTCGCCCAGCCACGCCGGCAATCGGAACGTTTTACAGCGCGTTCAATTCAGTTGTCAATTGGCCCTGCATCACCCTAAGCAATTGCGCTGCGTGTACATGCCCAGAGACAGAATCCAAGTACGGGTAGCTGTCGCACTCCCTTCATTGCAGATACCGTGCTGGCGCTTCTCACCCTTTCATGTCGCTGGTCTGAAACTCAACTTACACCTTGGCTTTTTCCGGTTCTTTCTGTAACGAAGTTGGACGACACAGCATCACACTGACAGCTCTAACAAACAACCTATAGATAAGTTGTGAAATGGCATGTGAGGACAGTGTTCTGGATGTCCAAGATCAAATACAGGAACGCAACAGCAAGAGCTTGCTTCGAGGACATGAACGCCTTTATGGTGAGCAGAAGAAACGCCTACAAAGAGTCGCGGCTGGACGTTTTTCTTAACAGCACGCTAACACCCCTCCCTCATGACAGATGCATACAATGAACTTCATACGCTGGCACAATCATTCAACAAACCCTTCGATGCGCCGGCCATCCTGGTCGTTGGTCACCAGACTGATGGCAAATCTGGTATGGAAAGAGTCCACGATCCTTGTTCGTAATTTGCACTTGATACTGAAGGTGTGACAAATTGAAGTTAATCGGGTTATGAGCGCTTTCTCAGTGCCCCGCCGCCCGCCTTATTTCCCGGCTTCCCCCTGTACCCCCAATCACCAAACCAGCTCTCATTGAGGCGCTCATGGGCTTTCAGGTAGGCCGACGGATCACCACTTGCAGTACTTGCTAGCACAGAACATTGGGAGCAATCCGCCACCGCCTTATCGCCTTAGGCACTTGATTATAAAATGCTGCCTCATGGCCGCAGTTCAACAGCGTTGGTGGCGGCACCAAGACCCGCAGACCAATCGCGATCAACATGAAGGTATGCACGTCTGCGCGCCTGATGAAAATGAAAAGATGCATGCTACGGCCCACCCGGCCACTCTGCATTACTAATCACCATGAATCGTCCTTGTCCTGTCGCGATGACGGCGCCGTTGTGCGCACCCGCAGAACGTGTACAGCCGTTTTGAGCCGAATACTTGAGCTTTATTCTCATCATGTGTTTAAATTACTCATGTCGCATCCGCCATCATGCCCTCAACCCCCTGAACTCCCTCCCCGCCAGTACAATGGCTCATGTTCCACGCCGGCTTGCTTTCTCAAACTTGAAGATGGAATTTCCGAGCAACCGCTCACCTTGGCGGAGCTGCAGGTAAACAAGCACGCATATATGAATGCGGTTAGTTCTAGGCATCGACAAGAACATGGCGCCCTGGCCCGGCACCAGTGCTATCACCAGGCTGCGATGTCACCATGGCGGCCTGGCCCGGCACCAGTGCTATCACCAGGCTGCGATGTCACCATGGCGCTCATACACGTGATTGCCAGAAATACGCTCCCAAGGCAACCACAGGACCACCCGCCAAAGTCATAGTCTTTTTTGACTCAGCGCCAGAGGCCCCCAATTGTCGCCCGCCTGACCTTCGGCCCGAACCTGCGTGCCACACCGGCCGGGGGGGATCCTGTGTGTGTGTGTGGGGGGGGGGGGATTGTCCAAGCAGGCTTACATTGACGCCGACAACGCAATGCTGGAGCGCGAGCAGCGCTTTGCGTCACGGGAGATCGTCGTCCGCATGGAGTACAAGCACTGCCCCAACCTCACCATCATCGACACACCGGGTGCGGACGCGGACGCGGGCTGTGTGGGCAGTTCCGGACAGTTCCACACGGTTCCGAACCGTCGCTTCACGTCGGTACACGCTCTTCATTCACGTCGGAGAGCTACACCTTCGGTGCTGCTTTTCCTGTGCATGCGCTTTTGAAGTGCCGTGGGAGCGTATTGGAGCAGCGCACGAGGGGATGATACCTGCTTTTTTTTTACACAGAAAACTGAGCCGCGATAAGGAAATAGGGGGACCTGTGCGTGTAGTGCGTGTGTGCCTGTGTGTATGTGTGTGTGTGTGTGTGCCGAGCCCTTCACTATTCAACCTCGCTGACAGCCGGACAGCACCTGTTGGTGGACCGCTTGCCTGCCGCTTCCTGCAGGGCTCATTTCACCTGCGCCCGGCAAGAAGAACTGCGCGCTGCAAGCCTGTGCTGCTCAGGTGGAGGAGATTGTGCGCAGCAAGGCGCAGGTGAGCTGCTGCTCTATCTACCTGCGACGCGGAGGCGAAAGTCCGAGTCCTGTAGCATTCTCCGTACGTAATAGCCTCTTCAGAGGTTTTGCTTACGCGAACATCCGTTCATTTTTTGGTTGTCATTTGGGTGCTCGTGGCCCTGGGCTGGGAACATCCATTGGAGCGCGTCCATCTCATGTAGGGGCGTATGAGAGGGCACAGCAGCCGAGAATCCTGAGAATGGTTGCCGTAGATTTTATGATCTTCCACGTACGGCAACCATCCACGATGCACCCACCTGGCACGCAGGTTCCGGAGTACGTTATTTTGTGCCTGGAGGATTGCAGCGACTGGAGCAACGCAACCACTCGTCGGCTCGTGATGCAGGTATGGTACGTCAGACACTCGTGCATACATGCATTGCTGGTAGTCCAACCGTTAAAAGGGGTTGATGAACCTATGTAGGATTATGTCATGTGAGGTCGGGGTGAGAGGCGCATTTGCGCGGTAAACAGTGCTGTTGTGGTGGTGGTGCAAACCAACCTCTGTGCTGCTGTGGACTCGATACGGGTGTCGCCATGCGGCGACATTGCTGACGTTGTGGTTTTGGGGGCAGGGCAATGCCGTGCACAGCCATCGGCACCATGAGGTTGCTTCCTGGCCGACACCGGACATGAAGGAAAGAAAGGCTCTCAAGTGCCAAAGTCCGCTTCTACTCAGTAGGGGCTGTGCGGTGTTTATTGTATTACTGTTCCCCACTCGTGGAACTGAGAGAGAGAGAGACGGTGACGGTGATGTCTCGATGATGCGGCGTCTCTCTCTCTCTCAGTTCCACGAACTTCAGGAACAGTATACAATAAACACCGCATGGGCGCATTATGAGGATCGGCGTTTTGACCAAACCTGAACCTGGTGCACGTCCTCCTCCTGTGCACGTGTAATAGGTCGATCCCAACCTCTCCCGCACCGTGCTGGTCAGCACCAAGTTCGACACGCGCATCCCCCAATTCGCTCGCGGCGCCGACTGTGAGATGTTTCTGAAGCCCGGTGTACTGGAGGACTGCAACATGCTGGGAGACGGACCGTTCTTCACGTGAGCGGGGGGCAAACGGGGTTTTTCAGAAGTAGTATGCGTGTCAGCATACTACAGCACTACTATACTGCAGGTGCGTGTGGGCTCCTGCGGCCCGTACTACTTCTGGCCGTGGCACGCAGTGCTGACTCGTCCCGGCAGCAGGAGGTCGATTTTTTTTGTTCTGTTCGTGAACAGAAACGAACCAGCTTCAGCTTTGTTGTATGTTGACAATCCAGGCTAGGATGGCTACCTGCAGGTTATCGAACAGCACACTGCCTATTGGAAATGCGGGGAGGTCACGGTGCGACGCGCGTGTTGCCCTCAAATTCACGTTTAAGCCAACATCGTCGTGATCCCCTTAACTTCTCCTTCTATCTATCTATCCCCGATGTGCTCGGACTTTTTCAGGTCCGTTCCGTCGGGGCGTGTGGGCACTGGGCCGGACTGTGTCTTTCCCACCCACGATGCGTTCCGGGAGCGCCTGTCGGAGCGTGAGGTCACCGATGTTAACGACCTGGAGGCTAAGCTAGGCCGAAGGCAAGTTTTCAGTGACGGCGCTCGAGGCCTCGGGGCTGGTGGCTCCCGCGGGGGTTTACCACCCCAACAGCCCTCATGTCCGCAGCAGGAAGCATTTTGGTGTGTCCTTTTGGTGTTGCACGCGTGCGTGCGTGCGGCCATGGACTGCGCTAATGTGAATTGTCTCCCTCCATGCGTTGGGCCCGGCTTTCACGTGAACGAAGAGCCTCCTTGTGGAAGTCTTTCTGGTCCCTTTCTGGACATCTCCCTTTCAATTCAATTTTCATTTGGTTCCTCTAACTCGGGGTGGCTTACCGCAAACCACTCTTGGTCCAGCCCCCAAGTCAACGTTCTCTAGGCATCGCACCTATCGCACACGTTCATCCGATCCTCCCCGTGGCAGGCTAAGCCGGATAGAGCGGGACCATGTTGGCGTCGGCGCGCTACGTCGGTTTTTGGAGCAGCTGCTGCAGGTGAGCGCCTCTTGGACCGATGTTTTTTTTTGTTTTGCTTGCTCGGGTGTATTCTGCAAGGGCCGTGAGTGCGACGAGCACGTCACCAGCTCTGCATGTGCTTGGAGGAAGGGCCAGGAGCTGGGAGCTAGCTAGCACACACGTCCACACACAGAGGTTGACCTCTTGTGTCTTGTATGGCACATCATCCGCACCTACAAGAACACTCTTGAGCCTACCATACCAATACCTTCTGAGAAATGGCTCTGGGCGCACAAGCAAAAAGCCCATGTCAATACGGTATTACGTGTAGCGAGATCCTTGCATGGCTCGGATGTCGTGGGCGGCCTGATCACCGTAATGCACACAACCCCACACCGCCAACGATTGATCGCGTTGTTTAATTTCATTCTGGCACGTTTTTCTGACTTATGCCGTGGCCTGCTGGCCGAGGCCACAGAAACGGTACCTAGACGCGGTTCCGGTCATCGTGCCGCTGCTGGAGCACGAGCAACGCGCCACCCAGCAGCGCCTGGAGGTCGTGCGCCGGGACCTGCTGGGGCTCAATCCGGAGCAACTCAAGGTACTTGGGGCAAACGCCAAGGGGGCTGCATGGGCTGCCTCCTGTCAGGAGTGGATGAGCGTATTTGGACATGCGTACAGCATGCGTTGTAAGATTCCGGTGGTGCAGTCAAGGAGATCAGTTCCCTTCGCGATTTAGCTTGATGGCTTCATGATAAAAGACAGATCCACCCGGATTCGGACCCGGATCCGTTTTCCCATAACCAACTGTGTCTCGTAAGCTATGTTTGATATACTCCTTGACAGTTGTGCGTTATTCGAGGGGTGCAAAGTACGGCAATCCTTTTTTTTGCGAATTTTGGATTGCTTGGGTATTTTGAGTCGTATGCGTTTCCGGTTCATACGTGCAGGACAAAGGCCGGGCCTTTGTGGACGCCTTCTTGAACCGTCTGCAACAGCTTTTGCGCGGTACTGTGGCTGCACCGGCAGACAAGTGGGGCGAGACGCTGGCAGACGAGCACGCGCGTGGTGGTGAGTTCACGACCAGTGGCCAAATCATAAGCGCCATGAGCGTCTTTAAAGCAGAACCATGACCAGGCCCCGGGATCAGCCCATGCCCTCGCCTTGCCTGCGACGATCTATATTTAAATCAAACGTGCCCATGCACCCCGCCAGGGTTCGCGACCTAGGCCGGCGCTCTTGGGTTGAGGCACGGTTGTTAGCCACCGTGGATGACTTACATCTGGGGTTCACAGGCGGCCGTCATGTGCTCGAGGGCGGGACTTCAGCCCACAACTTCAGCCCACAACGTCTCCCCTCAACCTTTTGAGCAGCGTTGCATTTTTGTCCGCTAATCCTTTCCTGACGCCCCAGCACCCCGTCTTCATATGCTTCTATGCATGCACGGTGTAGGCGCATTCGCACCCAGCCACGGGCGGTCGCTGATGCTTCAGGAAGCCATCCCCAATAGCAGCATGCGGCTGTACGGAGGCGCGCAGTTCCATCGCGCCATGACAGAGTTCAGGTGAGTAGGCCGGCCGCATTGGGTGTATGCTAGGTGGATGCTAGGCCGCCGGTTGTGTCCCCCCCTATGTACTTGTCGAGTATTCACCGAAAGGTTTCTGTGGCCGCATGCCATTGCCATATGCAGGGTGAGGATGAGGCTTTGGCGGTGCCTGATTACTGCATTCTATCCAAGTGCTTTTGGGTGTCTCCTCCCGCAATGACGTCGGTTAGGAAAAGGAAAAGCACATTACGTTGTGTATGGGTGCATGTTCTGCATGTAGGTTGGTGGTTGGCACGCTGCCGTGCCCCGAACTAACACATGAAGACATTGTCAATGCGTGCGGGCTTGACTACGAGGGCGGCCACGACGGGGTGAATTACGTGCGGACCGCCTGCGTCATTGCCGTCAGCAAGGCCAAGGAGATATTGGAGCCGTACATCCACCAGGTACATCGGGATGTACGGACACAAGGGCTAGGCAAGCCCAGATGGGATTGTTTGTGATTCCAGTTTGGGAGGCATCGCCTGTTGTTCCTCGCATTCACGGAGCTCCTAATGATGCTTTGGATGATGCTTGGATGATGCTTTGTTGAATGATGGTCGGATGATATGGTCGGACGGTAAATGGATGATGGTTGGATGATGATTGGATGATGGTTCATTGGCTGTCCCTGACCCTGCCTGTCCCATCCGCCACCCCGCACTGGTTTCTGGTTTTGGTTCCAAATAGCTGGGCTCCCGGCTGGCCCACGTGCTGCGCCGCCTGCTGCACATCAGCCTGGCGCTCATGCAGCAACAACAGCCTGTGGATGGCTTCATGGGTGGACCCTCCGCGGCGCCATCTGCCGCTCTGACCGACCAGTTCGTGCGGCGTGTGTCGACCGCATTCCATGCTTTCCTGAGCCAAGTGGAGGAGAGCTGCAAGGAGAGGTAGGCGAGACAGGGGGGAGCAAGGGAAAACGGGCGCCGGGGCTGCTCACGTTTCGCGTACGGCGATGCAGACGGATTTCCTCACCATAATACATGCTTCAGATGCCCCTCGCGCTGCTGTGCGTGTGCACCACACAGCTGCCCTACGTTCCTTTGCGTTGATTTGCTGTATTCCCCGGTGGGCTGTACTCCTGTACCCCCGTGTGGCTCGCGAACCAGGTGCCTTGAGGACCTTGCGTCTACCACACGCTACGTCAGCTGGAGCCTTCACACCCGAAACATGAGGAACCTGAAGCACATGCTGGGGAAGGTAAGGGTGGCCAAGCCAGCCAAACCTTTACGGTTCGCAGTATGGCCAACATCTATCCAGCAAAGCAGGCCACCACGACGCGACCGCAGTGCAGCTTGCATCATGCACCTGGAGGCTCCGTTGTAACCTTAGGTTTTCGGGGCATTGGATTCTCACCAATGTTTTCGTTGTGCGATTTGGGCCTTATGGAATGAGCGGCGTCCTCGGAGCATTTTGTCAAACAGTATTTCACATGCTGTCTGAACATGACGCAAGGCCCAGGCAGACCCAGCGCTTATCAGTGGAAGTTCTGTCCTTCTGTCCCACCTTGGGCGCACCTTTAGCAGCCTGCTGCATCTTGTTGGAGCATTGGTCTGCAGCGGATGTCCCTTTCCTCCGCAAATGGTCCGTGCAGGTCCGAGTGACCTCAGGTGATAACAACGGGGGTGCCTCTTCCGGGGCCAGCCACCCCATTACCACCATCACCACGGCTTCATCGAACAGCGGTGGCAAGTCAGGGGGTGCTCCCACACCACCGCCTCTGAGCCGCGAGGCATCCATATCAGGCGGCTGCTCGCTGAGCCTCTCTGACATGCTGGAAACAACGTTGTGGAACCGGTGAGGCTCAAGGACGCTTCCCCGTCTGGTCGTTTTCACGTACGCGCGTGGGGATGGTCACTTGCAAGGGTCTTCTTTATCACATCCTTAGGGCCGCGTCTTAAGGGCTCGGCCAGGCTCGGTTGCGATCTCTACAGGGGACTCCAGAGTGCTGCTCACGTCACATGTCGCGCTGTGCGTGCGCGTTTAATGAACTTGCGTAAAAACTTTGTATCCATCCACCTTGCATCACGCATCACACGCAATCGATCGCCGCCGCACATTAACGCAGGAGCCTTACGGGCGTCAGCGAGGACATCGTGCGGGCACTGGTGGCCCAGATGTTCGATGGCATTCGGGACCACCTGGTGCAGGTGCGCATGATGGCCTTCCTTACTGCGCCACGACCTTTTGGCCATACTAAGCTAAGAAGCTTAAGAGTGAACATCACTTAAACGCCAAAACGAATGTACAGTTACGCAATTTGAAGACTGGGATCTGAGAGTTTGGCTGTGGTTTGCAAAGGGCTATGGTAAGGGTTGCCATAGGACGTAAGAAATGACCTGTCTGCAACGTGACGGTGCCCCGAGCAGGCCGCCGAGCTCAAGTTCAACTGCTTCTTCCTGATGCCGCTGGTCGACGCCTTTCCCGCGCGCCTGCGCAAGGACATCGAATGCGCTTACGAGGAGGTGTGTGTGACGCTTGTGTCGCAGTCCTTGCACGGTGTGCAAGCAATTGGGGGGGTGCAAAGAAAAAGCTACACTCACGCAGAGAGAATATACGCACGCCTGAAAGTGCAAGCGAGCGCTCGCTGTGCTTGCTGTCATGTGCCGAGTGCGCTGTGCCGCTGTCATGTCATTGACAGCTGCCACGGCTTAGATAATAAGTTACGCCGCCCGTTCGGCCTCGATACACACTAATGACAACAGGCACATGACAACACAATGCAATGGACATCATCACGTATACCGCGCTAACAAACAGGCATGCTCATCCTGGATCATCCTCAGGGCCTGGATGAGGTATTCGACGCGGCGAGTGTGCGGTCCACGCTTGAGAACCGGCAGGGTGAGCTGCAGGAGGAGCTGCGCCGGGTAAGCAGAGAACCCTGGAAGAGCAAGTAAGACATGCATGCAACGGCGCTGGGTGTGCAAGCCTTACCTCTATCCGTGTGGCGTTAATGGTGCATTAATTATGCTGGGAAGATGAGCATTGTGGGGCTTGCAGCACATTTGATTCAACCAATCCATGCGCACGGCGCCATGATACACACTCGCTCCACCACACACGGCTGTCCATGCAGGTCGAGCGGCTGCAACGCAAGTTCCATTCTATCCACCTGACCCTGGTGCATGGCCCTTCGGTAGCCTCGGGGCCCACCAGCCGCGCCATCCCCGACTTGGACGCCTCAATGATGGTGTCCACAGCCGCCTCACCCCTCCCGACACACCAGCCCACCCTTGGCGGTCGCTTGGCATCGGCCGCGGGGCCCCTCGCCCGGACACCCGAACTGGCCCCCAAGCCGGTGAGTTCATCAGACATACACAGACACATACACAGCACTCCCATCTCAGGTTTTCAGCTCTGCGGTTGACTCTGGTAACAAACAGGCTGTTCACGACTCCGCTGAAACAGCTTCCCATTTCCCCATGTGCTTCGCAGATGGCGTTCGGCAGCTCTCCATCTCTAGCCACCGTGCCTGGGCGGAAGGTCACAGCCTCGGCAGCGGGCGCTGCCGCCGTTGCGGCGGGCGCCGCACAGTCGCTGGCGCAGCAAGCTCGTGCTGCCGCTCTAGTGGCGCAGATGCCGCCTAGCGGAGCAACCTCGGCTGTGGAGCGCGACCGCGGCGAGCGGGACGCAAAGGACAAGCCGTTTGCTCTGGGTGCTATGACTGCATCTGAAAAGATGCCTCAGCAGCAGGGGATTGCCGGCGGCGCCATGGCCTTCCCGCTGTCAGACACATGAAGGTGTGAAGCGAAGCATCATTTTCAGCGTCGGCGCTCTCCGCGCGTTCGTTCCGGAAGGGGCTGTGTTCCAGTTTTTATAATCCTTGGTGAGCAAGCGACTTCGGCGCACATGGCATAGCTCAATCGCTATAAGTTATATCTGCAGCACTGTTTGACTTGGTTGTCATGTGTGCAGCCGCTGATTACGATTGACCGAACAACGTACATTAAACGACATAAACAAGGCGGGATAGTATGTTGGATGAGCAGCAGGTTTGGGTGACGCTATCGATCACGTTGTGATAGTGCGAGAGGGACGAACCGTCAAGTATTCTCGTTTTGATGGCAGTCAACGGTTGACCAGCTGCCGAGTTCGTTGCGGTTGAGTTCCATTAACAACCTACCTAGGACAAGAAATGATGGTTGGGGTTACCTTTCCAGAGACATGTACTGGCTGATGTCCGTTGGCAAAACTTTCCAGACATGCCTACAGGCAAACCTTGACTTGGCTTAGTCGGTAGCGTGGTCGCTGGTTGTCCATGTCTAATGAGGAAGGCAGCGAAGATTAGCGTTGCCATGATTGGTGAGCAGTAGTAGCATCTGGCGTATAGTTGAACTGCCGTATAGTTGAAATAGGCATAAATAATGCGAACAAATTCCATGATCCTACTGGATCAAAGGCGCTCTGTTGAATGAGGCAGGTTGCTGAGGACTCGAGAGGCTCCAATGGCACATATCTAGGTGGCACATATATGGAGACCGCCGAGCCAAGGGGACGGGTCTGCATACGCGACCTCAGGACATTGTGTTAGTCCTCGTGTAAAGTGATTCGCTCAAGGTATAGAAGATGTGCTGTCAAAGATTACGGACCAACATACCCAACAGCAGGTGTGTTTTTGTCTGAGGTTTCCCAGCGCCCTTCGAATTTTTACCTGGGGTCTGGGGCTCGCTGTAATACCTACTAATACCACCAGCTTACATGTGACGTGCTGGCAAGTTTGGGTTGCCTGCTTGATCTTGCACGCAGGAAGTCTCGACTCACACGGATGCCTAACACAACCTGACCACAACCCATTCTCAGCAATCAACACCTTTGATGGCCTACCATGGCACAACCGCGGAGCCTAACGCAGCGTTATGACCCAAGGGTCACGAGGGTTTAGGCCAATCCCCCCTTGCACCCTTAGCCTGCGCCTTGCCCACTTGGCTCATCGCATAGAAGCGACATACATTCCCGAGCTCGCAAAGGTAAATAAACCATCTTATTTACCGGGTACTGCACCAAGACTGATCTGCGGCAGTCACACGAACCACTTAAGAGCCTTGCAATCTGCATCCAACCGTGGCGCTATCAAGATCTTAGACGGTATAAAAGCTACTCTCCTGTGCTCCTCCACGAACTGTCAGCCCTGAACTTCAATATCCGTCTCATCGAAATCGTCCGGAAACTGGTTGAAAAAGTCAGCGTCTAAAAGCTTCTCTGGAAAAGCTCCCTTGCTATCAAATGCCACGTCCGCTTCGTCGTCGTAGTCGGCAAGGACGCTGTCGATGTCCTCGGTCACCACGGGTTTGCTTAGCACATGGGGTTGGCTCCCCTTTGGTGGCTGCATATCTACCCTTTAACTCGAAACAGCTAGCGAATGCTGACAAATAAATCTTACAAAGTGAAGAACAAAAAGCTCAGGAAAGTGCGCTCAATAAATGGTTTTCGTCGGGAGCTAAATCATGTACTAATACATTCTATAAATCACCTAAGCGCCAAGATGCTACACCGGTTCTGCCTTGGTACGGTCATGCTTCGGTTGTGTTTCCGAAACCAGGACTGGAGGCTCCACCTCCATTCAAGCAAGTCATGGCACACAGCGGGGCTTCTTTATGAACTCTGAATGATTCCTCTTAACAAAGGTATGAAACAATTATCTTAGCCCCTACGCGCTTCAATGTGCACGCGCGAGATGCGAGGGCCACACCCATAATGAGCAACCATTTACGTCGCGGTCTAGTATCCAAACCCAATGGGCCTCGGCGTGGTGTTTTCTGCCAGGCTGGCGGCTCCAGCAAGTCCGCCGTACCACGGCGTCCTGAAAGTCAAGCACAGACATCCCGCAACGCAACGCCGCTGACTTCGCCGCTGAACATCCTCCGGCAAACGGGCACGCTGTTGAGCCCTCACACCCGCTCCTACCTCTCCTCCCCACCGCCATTTCTGCACCACCGCCAGCCGGGGGCTCACACATGCCGGCGCCAGCTGGCGCTATCGTCTGTCCCGGCGCCGGCGCGGTCACCGGCGCCGACAGGCGGAGAAGCCACCCCCTCCACGTCCCCCTCCACAGCCCCCGCTAGCAAGCCTGAGCGTTCTGCCGCGGGCGGTGCCGCCGCCGCCGTCCCGGACGACTGGCGTCAGGAAGTCATTGCCGCGTTGGCGCAGGCGGAAGGATTTGCGGAGCTCACGATACGAACCAAGGTACGGACTACAACCCAACACACTTCCAACGAGGTCTCCATTTTGTGATATGAAGGCTAAAGATTCCAAGTCAGGCCTAATCAGGCCCAAACCAGAGAGCGCTTGTTCTATCGTTGCGGTTGTCGTGGGCACGGATTTGAAAACACAGCAACATCGGAACCTCAGAGCCCCCCTTCCCTGCGTGACCTTGCCGCGTTCACGAGTTGTGTGTGCGGGGGGGGGGGAATGAGAGGGACATCCCGATGGCGGCGGCGGCAGAGACGGTGGCGGGTTGGGGCCGGACTTCGCTGCGGCCGAAACCGGCGTCCTTGGGACAGTCGCCTCCGTCGCCTCCGTCACCGCCAGTGGCGGCCGGGGCCGGCGGCGTCTCCCACACTGGATCCGGCTTTGCGTACGACAGGAGTTCCGTCAGGATCCATCGTCAGGCTGTCGGGGTGCAACCGGGGGGAACCTCCGGAACGCTACTGCCATCACTATTACTACTGCCGTCACTATTGCTACTGCCGTACTGCCGCCACTATTGCTACTGCCGTACTGCCGCCACTATTGCTACTGCCGCCACTATCGATACTTGCTTCGTAACCGCGATGACTCACGGGGGGACAGGCATGCTGATTTTAGCCACGGCCCCTCCCTACCGCTGCTGTTGCTGCCTCCGCCATTGCCAACCACTTGGTACATCGCCATGCAACGCCGCAGGCTGCTTCCGCCGCCGCTCAGTCCTGGCACACCGTCACCGCGCGTCCCGTGCTGCTCGGGGGGACCCGCCACTTGCAGGTCGGACGGGGGTTTGCAGGGAGTATCGGTAATCTTCCGCCGTACGGGAAAACACACACGGCGCCTATCCCCGCTACTTTGCCTATATTTTTCCCGCGGCTCAGTGTCGCTAGGGCTTCAACTAGCTACATGCATGTATGATGTTACAGGGTGGTATAGCTTCACCAGCGGCCCCCTTTCCCTTGGAGGCAGTTCCCTGCTCTCCCCTGCGAGAGGGGCACCCCAATCCATTCACCCATCCGACTTCAGAATGTATTCGTTGGGTTCAGCAACTCACCACCAGCATCCAACCAAATCTAGCGGATCAACGGCGCCACAACTTAGTTCCTGGTCAGCTCGCAAGTTGATATTATCACGTCCTACACCGTCCATAAGATGGGGGGCCACCTTCCAATCCAACACCCCTCACACAACGAGGGGACGGCAGGTGGATTTGAACCCGGAACCTCCGGGAGCAGAAGTCAGGCCTTAACTTCTGCCAGCCACCTGCCTTCATGTATGTATGTATGTATGTATGTATGTATGTATGTATGTATGTATGTATGTATGTATGTATGTATGTATGTATGTATGTATGTCTGACTTAGATACACTGTGGGCCGAGAGAGCCGGGGGCCGAAGCCGAAACACAGCGCAAGGGTCGGGAGCACACAGCACAAGTCGGTCAGTCATGCGTGCTACCCGAGCGCGAGTCAGACTGCCAACACTCTAAGCAGACACTCCGCAGGCCCTCCATCCAGGGATGGCGCTGCATTGAACACACCAAGAAGGGCTCGCAGGTCCCGATAGAGCGAGTCCATAAGTCTCAGCTAGGGCAAAGTCAAAGGCTCTCTGAACAACCCCCCAAAACACCACCAGCGAAAACGGGATCCTAAGGGAGGAAAACAAACAAACAAACAAACACAAATTCGGTTAAGACAGTCCCGGCAGGGGAGGGCTCCTGATATACCTAACAGGCCAACTAAAAACCTCCAAGAGAGAAAGGCTGAGAGAGCTCGACACCACAAGACGTCTTGCAACCACCTTAAAACAACTGACCTCCACCACCTGTCCCTTCCTGGGCTGGTCCAGGGGAGAAGTAGCCTTATAAAGAAAAGGGATCCCGCACAAGCCTGATCACCACTGCAGGGGCCCGGGATAGTCCGGCGAAACCACCAAAGCGTTAGCGTTGCCACGACACACAGCTCCTAGACCCTCCAGAAAACCGCAGGGAGAGGATTGTAGCCCGCGCGGCGCCTCCCCCTTACCGCCACTAACCTGAACGGTTGGTCCTCCAGAAACCTATTCACCCTGCCTCGTACTGCACCGCTCTCACCTTCGTCCCTCACCAAGCAACCCAGTCCCACAGAGAAGACGTGTCTAAATAGAATGGCCCTCCTCGGGCCACATCTCCCCCTCATCCGAGCCCCGCTACCACCACCAGACCTCAACCTCCCAAACACCAGAAGACCTACGTCCTTTTGGCGCTCTCACCGCCATTTCCCCCCTCCCCTGTCCGAGCGACCCCACCTCCCCCCGGCTCTCCAGCACCCTACAACCTCGGAGCGGCACTAGGGAAGAAAAAGGGTTCTTCCCTGCACGACGTGACCGCCTCCATTCCCCGTCCTTCTCCTCTCCCTCTCCCGTATGTATGTATGTATGTATGTATGTTCTTGCTCAGCTCCATGAACGAACTTGCATTCGCGCATGGATTCACACACGGGCGACTGCCGCTGCAGCTCGAGCACGACGGATATGGTGTCTTCTCTTCCCCCCCATACACACACACGCATCTCCCTTCCCAGACGTCCTCCTCCGTCCCGCCTTCAGGTGACGACATTCACCGTACGACAAAGTACGTCCGTCAACCACCCGCTGGGCCTGGCGGCGGCGAGCGCCGCGGGCCCTGGCGGTACGGCAGCGGTGGCTGCTGTGGATGCCGTGGTCCGGCCGCTGCTGGAGGCGGGTGGGCTGGGAAGCGTCACTCTCCGTACGAGCAGCCAGGACTTGACGGTGCAGGTGGGGGGGGGGGAAGCGGCGGCGGGATTATGTATGTTAAGGGGGGTTAGGAGCGTGCGGGGGAGAGCACCGGGTTCGTGCCGTGTGGGCGAGCTCATTGACTTTTCTCTCCTCATCCTCGGCCCCGGGTTTTCCTCCCCTACATGCTCTCTTGTGGCGGTACCAGCACGTGACGCAGTGCCCCCCTCCGCAACGCAGATTACAAAACGGGGGAAGGGTATTGTGCACCGAGGCGCACCCCAGGTATGTTTGTATGTATGTATGTATGTATTTAGGTGCGTGGGCAGGCGGGTTACCGGGCGGGTGAGAGAGATGGGAAAGAAGGAGAGGGGGAGAGGGGGGGAAGGAAGTAGGGGATTGGGTGACTCGTGCTTGCACGCGCGTGTGTGTATATTTATGTGTTTGAGTGATCTGAGCCGTGTCTGTCTGTATGTATGTGCGTGTGTTTAGGGTACACGGCCCCTCCTGAGTAACCTCTCGAGTGCCCCCGGTGTCCACATTGTACAATGTATGACGTACGGTGTACGGTGTGTGCCTTTTTTTCCGTGTGGCGTCTTGTCCGGGTCCAGCAGCCTGCTTCCCTCCCATGCCATGCCACTGTCTTCCCCTGTGGGGCCTTATTACACGCGTCATCTCCATACACATACCACCTCCCCTCCCCTCACTTTCCCTCAAAGCCGCAACAAACAACCCCCTTTGCTCCCCCTTCCTTCCTCCTTTCTTTTTCTCACCCACTTCGAAAAGAGTCGTCCCGCCCTGGTCACTTCCGAGCCGGGTCGAGCGCTGTCGCACGACCGGACCAAAGATACCCCCATACCGGCAAACCAGCCGCACCCCTTCCTGCAGCGAATCGGATTTCAAACAGCGGACGGCAGGATCCGGGCCAACATGCAGGTCGGTGCGACCCGTGGGTCGCTGGGACTCTTGGGTGCGATCCCGTCTGTACCGGTGGTATATATTTATATTTCCTCTGTAATGGGTCGTGTGGTGGTGATGGTGATGGTGATGGTGATGGTGATGGTGATGGTGATGGTGATGGTGATGGTGATGGTGATGGTGATGGTGATGGTGATGGTGATGGTGATGGTGATGGTGATGGTGATGGTGATGGTGATGGTGATGGTGATGGTGATGTCCCAATCCCCCCTCTCGTGTTGCCAATCAAGAGAGTCGTGCGTCCATTTTTGAGAAAAAAGGTTGCACATGTAAGGCGTTAAATAGCATTCGTGAGTGCGGCGATTTTTCAACGGCGTTTCCTGAGGGCCCTATCCCCTGCAGGACAAGTTCAGCCAAGTGAACGAGTTCTTGAAGCTGCTAGGTCACACGGGCTTCATACAGCAGCAGCTACAGCTACAGCAGCAGCAGCAGCAGCAGCAAAGGGCAGGCGCCATCGATGGCGCCACCGCACCAGAGGTTGCAGTGGTTGCGGCAACCGCAACCGCTGGACGACAATTCATACAAGAAGAAGCAGAACCCGGAGGGGGTCCCCGGAGGGCGCTTCATATCCTGGATTGCGGCTGCGGTTCCTCACACCTGACCTTTGGTGGGGCCTGGGGGGAGGGGAGGGGAGGGGAGGGGAGGGGAGGGGAGGGGAGGGGAGGGGAGTTAGGCAGGTGTGTATTACAGGTTCGTGGGTCGGCACCATGACGGTGGGGGCATGGGAAACAAAGAGGGAACGCCACCACCGCCACCATTGCCACCGCCAGCAGCAGCACCAGAACCCATATTTTTCTGTTGATTTCCTCATTAATTGCCTTCCCCCTCCTTCCTCCCTCCAATCAACACCCTCTACCCCCACCCCCACCTCCACCTCCACCTCACCCTCAGGCACCTACCACTACCTAAACCACGTGTTGGGCCTGCAGACCACGCTGACGGGTGTGGATGTGAACGGCGCACTGATGACTAAGGCCAACGAACACGCCCGCCAGCTGGGGCTCCAGGGGGCGCGGTTCGACACGGCCCCCATTGGGCAGTACAGGTAGTACGGGCTGTAGTACGGCAGTACTGTGTTCAGGCGGGCGGGGGGCCGGGGAGGGAGGAAGTTGCGAATCGCGTTTGTCTAAACCCTGGACATGTACGATGTTGCTGTGACAGTGTAACCCCGCCATCATCACCATCACCAGTACCATTACTACCATGACCACGACTGCAACCACCTTGACTATCACCCATATCGACGGGGTGATGGCAGGCCATCCGTACACCGCCTCCCCTCCGGGTGCCGCCTCCCACCCACACGCGTCGTCCCGCTCACCCGCATACACATCCCCCCTCCCCCCTTCCACCCGCCAGTCCTGCCATACCACCCGACATCGTGCTCGCCCTTCACGCGTGTGACACAGCCACTGACGACGCTCTGGCCCTCGCCGTGAAGCAGGTAATGATGGCGCTGGTGTGTGTGTATGTATGTATGTCTCTGTGTGTGTATGTTTTGGGGGGAGACTGCGAGGGGGATTGCGTGGGGGAGTCAAAACCCTGGAAGGTTCCTTCCCGGGGGTTTCAACGGGGGGGAGGGAGAGTACGAATGAGGGAAGGATGAGCGGCCTGGCGGTGACGACGTGGTGGGAAAGGGGGATTGCGGGGAGAGAGCGGCTCTTTGGGTGGAACCCAACCCCCGATGAGATTTACAGCCGATGATGATACACACACACACAGAGGAGGAGGAACCTAGATGGGGATCTCTGATGCATTTCGACACCATACTTATCTCATCCCACTACCCGGGGTGGGTGCCAATCCCCTCCCCTACTTCCCCCTCTTTTCCTGTTGTACGACATCCTCAGGGCTCCCCGCTCATCCTCGCCGTACCATGCTGTCACGCGCACCTTCACAAACAGCTGTCCGGTCGGACCCCCACCTCCCGACCCCCCTGGAGCCCCCTCCTGCGTCACGGCATCCTCAAACAACGGCAGTTGGATTTGCTAACGGATTCGTTGCGGGCACAACTGCTCAGGTAGGGGGGACCCCCCAGGGGGGGAGGTTCGGTGTTGTGAAATTGTGCATACGTATGTGTGTGTATACGTATCTGACACGACGCGTGTGCGTGTCTTTAATCCGGTTATGACCTTCTTCACCCGTTGATTAGGTCAGCTGGTCGAACAAACCAAAACGATCCGTGCGACACATACACCTCGCGATTTCCCCTCCCCCGTTTCCTTTCCCTTCCCCCGGGTAGATCAAAATTATCCTGTGTGTATGTGTGTGTATGTGTGTGTTTGCGTAATGAAGGGTTGCGGGCTACCGGACCGACGTGGTCGAGTTCGTGTCCACGGAGCACACGCCCCGAAACCTGCTCATACGGGCTGTCCGACAGCAGCAGGTGGCGCAGCAGCAATCCAAAGGCCCCGCCGTGCCGTCGCCGTCACCGTCAGCAGTGGCACCGCCGCCGCCGCCACCACCGCCGCCGCCAAGCTGGCGGCGGCAGCAGTTGTCAGCGGCCCGCGAATATCTGGCGTTACGGGACTACTGGGGCGTTACGCCGAGACTGGAGGTGTGAGGGAACGACCGTCTGTTTGTCTGTTTGCCTGCCAGTCTTCCTGTCCGTCCGTCCGCCTGTCAATATGTCTGGCCGTAAGGCTCACTGGGCGGCTCTTCGGCTCTTTTTCCCCCCCGATCTTCCCTTTCTCCTCCTCGCGTGTTGCCGTACCTCAGGTATTGCTTAATGAGCAAGTTGGTCTCTTGTTGCTGGAGGCGGCTTCAGCCACCACCACCACCACCACCACCACCACTCCCATGACCAGCATTGCCTCCGAAGAGGAGATGGGCGAGGGGGAAGAGGGGGATGGATTTGTTGGCTTCGTCGTCTGAAGCGAAAAGGCGGCTGGTCGCTGGAATGTCCGGCGAAGTAAGGTGGCGGAGTAAGGTGGCGGTGTCTCGCAGTGCGAGGGCCGCGAATCTGCCGGTTGTATGTATGTATGTATGTATGTATGTATGTATGTATGTATGTATGTGAGAGAGTGGGAGCTCAGAGTTTGGGCTCGTCCAATTATTAACACCAACTAGGCCTAGATAAATATCTGCCTTTTTTCAACTACAAACTATTTGGCAGGAGTTTTCAGAAATCCAAGGAAAGTTTCCATCGGAGAACGTAACGGGTAACGTGATGGGTAACGTGGGCAGCGAAACAAATGAAGGCCTAAGGCCAAGTGTTATTCCTTGCTATCTAAACGTGCAGAGCTCGGAACAAACAGCCTATGGCCCAAGCGGATAAAAATGGTTCCAATGGAACACGTGGAAGCCCAGTATTTGGCTATCCGTCTTTCCTATGCAGCGGTCTGTATGCCTGACTCGCATTTGGCTTCCCTGGACGTTCTGGATCCAGTGCGAGATGAACGTCTTCCTGGAAGGGGTCTCGGGCAAGGAAACGAATGTTCTTCAGATATTGGATATTGGAAAGGGGAAGGGAGATCTTGGGCGAAGATGGGAAGGGGGAAAAGGACTGGGAAAGGGAAAGGCTGCTCGTGCTTAGGAGGCAGCGGACAGAGCGAATTGTTGCGAACAATGAGAGCGCAAAACTGGGGCGGGTTTGGTTGGTCAGTACCGGTGTAGCTGAATTGGGGGAGTCCAGAAGATTCCATTCTTTGTGGTCTGGGGGTACGAATCCTGCCTCCGGTCCCGGCGTGCGGTTACGAGGCATATTTGTCGTACGTCAAAACAAGTTGCACCATTGACGCCAGCAGTCTGCTAGTGTAGCTGTGTAAAATGTAATTTTGTGCTTTAGCTTCGTGCGTTCCCTCGGATCCCGAAATCAGATAATAATTTCTGATCGCCTTATTTCTGTCCTTGGTATCATGGCCTTATCACTATGATTATCTGCTCCCGCGCGATAAGCTCTCTGATCCGAACCACCGCGTTCTTATTGACTTCACGGAACTGCAAAATCAATCCGGCACCGTAATTCGGCCCACGTCGAAGAAGAAATCCTGCACAAAGTTGAGCGGTTTCACGTACGTGCATCTAAGTTTTAATTCTATGGGTCTGGGATAGGATGCGCTCAAGAAATGAGGGGGAAATGCAGCCGCCGAGCGAGCCAAGTTCAAGACGTCAGAGAGCTTGCAGCGCAACACCCTGGAAAAGCACAAGAGGCTCTTAAAGATTCTGCTATTGTTGGTGCGTCATATGGTTGTTGTGGGCGTTTTGGTGCAAGCCCACATGCCGAATACAACCCTCATCAACGCAGTGAGCATTTCTGCAGATGCAAAAAGCGTGCTGGAGCATGCGGGGCTTACCTCAAGTTCAAGCTCGGCCCTGACAACACTCTCCCGTAACGCCTTGACCCTCTCCTCCCCTTCTCATCTGACCTTGGAGGACGAAGATGCTCGGTAAGCGCTGTCCAGATATGCGGGGTGCACACCTCGTCCAGGCAATTCAACTATAATGATGCAGCAACGCGAGCGCTGGTCAGGCCCAGTACATTTGCCAATACGCTTCTTCTTCTGGGTGTTTCCTTGCCGCGCAGGCGCTGCAGCCCTCAAAGCGGCGGAGCTGAACATTTGCATGGATTACTATTTAACCCAGGCATGTCCACACCAGTGCTTGCAACAGCATGGGAAGCGGGTCCGCCGAGTAGCCCTGCCATCCGTCCACAGCGGCTGAACCGCCTATACCTGAAGCCGCCTGTGACCGCTGAACCCTCTATTGCAAGTTCCAGAGTCCCATCGACCACCATCGGCGATGTTGTTTACCCCAGCATCGACACCAACGGCAGCAGCACCCAGCCCGCTACCGTTCTTGCCACCCCTGCCAATCCCGGCGGTTCAAAGAGCATCGATAACGTCAGCGCTAATACCGACGGCATCCTTTGCAAATCGCGGGGCGGCAGCGGCAGCGGTGGAACCATCATCCCCAGTCGCAGCGGCAGGTCCAGCAAGCGTCTAGCCCCTGTCAACCTCCGTGTTACCCCCAGCCATGTTAGGCCCCCACAGGTTGACGGATCCATGACCAGTACGGCTGCCGCCGCCGCCGCCGCCGTCGGAGCCGTCGCGAATGCCTCATGTTCTGACCTGCATGGTGGGCGGAGCAATCACGGGAGTGCCCTGGAACCTCTCTTCTTCCACAGCGATGATGGCGAGCGGTCTATGACCATCATCGCCGATGACCCAGATCTCCTTATGAACAGTCCCAGTGGGGCAACCTATCAAGAAACTCCGGCTAAACCGCCCTTCGCCGCCTCCGAAGCCACCACTATCCCCATCACGATGCCGGCCGCCTTTACAACCAACGCCGGGATCACGGCCACTAGCCTCATGCGGGGTGCTGTCCACCGCCCCACAGCCCGCAGCGCCCCTGCTGTGGCTGAATCGACGGCTGTTGATGTCGAAGGGTACCTGCCGTTGGCCGTAACGACCCGATCGCAGGCCGCAGCGGTCAAGCCACCTGGCCACGTGCATGACGACCTTGACATGGCACAGTTGCCTGTGCAGGGGGATGGAAATGGCCGCCCGGCGCCATCACTCGTGCCCGCTGGACATGTTCGAGCGCGTGAAGCGGCGGTGTCGCCTGTGCCGCCAGCTGGCGCGGATTGTGAGCCGCAGCAACTGCCGGGCACGGACGCTGTGGTGGGCAGCCACAGCACCGAAGTAATGGCGCATGCTGTTGCCGGTGGGACGTGCCGCATCCGAATGAAGCTCCACTCAAGCAACCCGGAGCAGCTCAGGCCTAGCATGCTGGCGCCACTTGCTCGGCTGCTGCTGCCATACAGCTGGGCCCTGCAGAGCGTCGCCGCGCGCCCTGGCTGTCTGGAGCTTGTGCTAGATTACACGATGCTCGAGAATGTGGCGGTGCAGCTGCACGGCCGAAGGGCTGGGGACGCCAGCACCGCTTCTGGCCTCGCTGCCGCTGCCGCCGCCGACCCAGATGCCATGATCTCCGACGGCCAAGTGGCTGAACTGCTGTCGTACTTGCAATGCCAGGGTTTAGTGGACCCCTCCCAAGAGCCGATGGTCACGGTACAGGTCAACCAGCAGCTGCGACGATTGCAGTGGCAGGGCCACGAGCCACAGGCAGCACTGACATCGCCGCGGCCGGGTCCTTCTGATGACCTCCTATCCTGGTGCACAGGCGAGCCTTCATCATCACACACTAACACTACTGCCGTCACCACCATTGCCGCCTCGGCGACGGCGGGGATGTCAGAGCGACCGGCGCTACAGACGAGCGGTGGCTGGTTCTGTCATGCCGGGTCAGGTCAGGCCGTGACAGAGGAAGTGGGGCTTACGAGTACGCAGCCAGACGCGGCGCCGGTCTGCCTCGTGGCGCCCTGTGTAGGGCCGGCAGCAGCGGCGGTACTGTACGTTGCTGTACCTTGTGCCGGGCTACACACCTGTACCGTCCGATGCCTTGGCTGCTTTCTGCCGGTACAGCAGCTGCAGCGCTTGTCCACGGCTGCTATCCACGACACCGCAGCGGCAGCGGCGGCGGGGATGCCTCGGCTGGGCATGGATTGGGCGGATGCCGTGGATTTGGCAGCAGCGGCAGCTGGTGCTGAGGGCGACGTACTTATCATTCAGCTGGACTCGCTTCCACGGCACTCAACGCTGCTTCAAGTGGAGTTGAGGATGGGTGGGAAATCACTCAAAGACGGCGCAGCAGCAGCGGGGGCGGTGCAGCCGCTGCAGCAGGCGGAGGAGGAGCACCAGCCGCCAATGCCTGCGCAGCTTGTCACTGAGCCCCTGTCCGCCGCGGCGCCAGTCCTTTTCCTACGTGCGTGTGCGTGTGACCGGGACGAGGTCTGCAGGTGCTCTTGTGCTCGGCGAATTCGACCGGGGTGGACGAGCATGGTCGGCGGTTCGGTCATTGATCGCGACGTGAACGAGTCTGGCTGTGGCGTGCTGAGCATGGCAACGGCTAGAGGTGTTGCTGCTGAGCTGAAGGACCTAAAAACACGCATTCTGGCTAGCCGCGTTGCGGGAGCTGCGCAATCGTCCGCGGATGCTCATGCCTTGGCGTCGGCGGCTCCTGTTCCAGGTACTAGTGCTGCTGCTGCTGCTGCTGGCGAACTGGACGAGATCGGGGCTGCGGCGGCGACAGCAGCGATCGCCGTGAGGGAGTTCATCAGCGACCTAGGACTCCTGCTGGATACAGCCGCATGTGTGCAGCTGCAGGAGGGGGAGGAAGAAGAAGAAGATGATGAGGAAGCGGCGGTGGGTAATTGCCTATCCTACAACCGTGTGATCCGTGGCCTGCTGCTGCAGCGGCTTGGTTTCGCCGGCAGTGGAGCAATCGAACTCCCCGATGATGTCAGCGGCGCCGCCATTGATGGTAGCGACTCAACTACTGCACAGTTCCGGCAGCACTTGGCGGACACGGCCGTGACGTTGCTGGCGGGCTGCTTGGAGCTGTCCCTGCCATATACGGCGCGCCTGGTCTCGTCGTGTTCGGCAGGGCAGCTGCGGCTGTGCAGCGAGGACGTGTTGGTGGCGGCGGTGGCGGTGGATGAGGTCGAGGTGGCGGCGCGGCTCGAAAACCTGCTTCGCTTCACTGATCCTCCTTGCCTGCCGCAGAAGTCACCGCAGCCGCTGCCTCCGTCGCCACCCTCGCACCGAGCTAACGGGACGGCTGCTGGCAGTAGCGGTGACGTCCGCGCCATTGTAATACCGCGGACAGCAACACCCCTGGCATCTTCCTCCATGCACGCCAGTACATCCAGTACACTACCGCAGGTTGCGCTTAGTGGCAAAGAACGACAACAACAACACCGTGGTGCTGTCGACGCCACTTGCAGCGGCGGCGGTGCAGCCGACGGCGCCGCAGTAGCAGCAGTAGCAGTAGGATCGCCAGCGGTGGCCCCACTCGTCAGCCCTTCAGTCGTTGCCTTTTTTTCCCCTCCTGCTGTGGCGGGCGCTGCCCCGGTTGACGACTCCTCCCCCACGCGACCTCCCCTGAGACCTAGCCTCAGTACCAGTCTGCTGCTGGAACATCAACATGCCCACAACGTCAATGTCAACTCCAGCGTCAACCACTTCCTGAGTCAGCGCCAGGGCCGGAACGGCGTCGGAATTGAGTTTCGGCACAGCTCTGGTCCGGGATTCGAGACTGGCTCTGGGTTCCCAGGTCCAAATACTCCTGGCACATCCCCGGGGGGCCTCGTCCAGAGCCTGTCGGGTTCTGTGGCTGTGCTTCAAGGTCCCCATCTGCGCTTGCGGCCACCCGCACCCGGTCAGGACACGTTTGCCGTCCCGTCTTCCCTGCCATCCTTGCCGTCATCTGCACAGACGCAACCGTTACGTTACCGGCGGTTCTCTAGAGTGCTTGAGGCGGTGGCTGCGGCGGCGGGTGGCGCTGAGGCAAGGGTGCAGACGGAGTCAGAAGGACGGTCACTGGGTCTGGACCCGGTGTTGACGACTGGCAGGTTGGTTGGCAGCGGTACCGCCGGCGGTGACGCACCTGCCGTCAGCCTGAGAGCGACAGCCATACTTAGCCGGAGGACTGCCGCTCAACCGCAGCAGCAACAGCTGCAACCGCAGCAGCAGCAACCGCGGCAACAGCAGCAGCAACAACGGCAGCAGCAACAGCAACCGCGGCAGCCGGAGCAGCTGAATACTCCGTCGGCGAATGGACAGCATTGCGCTGAGCAGGAGGACTCATTCCAAAGCGGGCAAGTGGACCGTCGAGGTGCCCAAGAACAGACGTTGGTTGGGGCATCGCCAGTGTCGTCGTCATGCGTCAAGGCGACGGCAGTGTCACAGTGGCAGGTGGCGGCTGCAGCTACGGGGCCTCCTCCTCCACTACCACCGCACGGGTCGTCGGGAGCGCCGGCGGGTTCGTCAGGGACAACGACATTCCTGGGGAGGGTTGGCAGCCAGGTGCTGGCCTGCCTCACAGGCTTTGCTTCCCCGCACATGGAGCAGGCGTTTTGGCAGGATACCACCATACGTTTGCAGGTGCATATGTGTGCGTTGGGGGGTCGGGACGGGTGAGGTTTCCGGCGGTCAGTTTCCCGATCCAGATGCCTCCTGTACTTCAACACTCGCCCCACCATACCACCACCTGACTGCGATTACATCATCGCTTTGGACTCGAGTAATTCGTGGCTTTGGACGTCAGCATTGATTCTTTGCTTCTTGCATCATGTGGTTCCCCCTACCTCAGAGACCGGGGGGCATATCCCCGTCTAATTTTCCCTTATCCCCCATCGCCTACCTCCACCCTTTTTTCATGGGGGGCCTCGGCCCTGCTCCACAGGCTATGTGCCGGCTATACGCCGGCATCACACTCGTCTTCGTGTCACTTAGCGTGGGACGTGCATTCATCGAGGACGGCCTCCCCGCGGCGGCTTTCATGGCGCTGTACCAGGGCGGCCAGGCGCTGCTTCTGGCGGTGTTTGGGCTGCTGGGTGACGGCCGGCCAGAACGCCTCTTTGGCGCTGTGGTCACCTGCACGGGGCTGCGCGCCGTGTGTCACTCGCTGCTTAGCCGCGGCCTGGCGCCGCTGCCATCCTTCGTGCTGCCGCTGTGCCACATGGGCGTGGACGTGTTCAATGAGGCGGTTGCGAAGGCGGTGTTCGAGCAGGTGAGAGAGTGAACGGGTGAGGGTACTAGGGCAGGGCAGGTCTCAGGTCAGATGAAAGCTGAAGCAGGGCAGCACAGGTCGGGTCCGGTCAGCTGAGGGCTGGGCTGGGCTGGGCTGGGCTGGGCTGGGGTGGTTCCTGGGCTGGGCTGGGGTGGTTCCTGGGCTGCCTCCCTCCCTCCCTCCTCCCTGCCTTTCAGTATCAGCAAATCAGCCTTTTTCTCCAGGCCAGCAACTTTACGCCACCTTTACGCCAACACTATTTTACTCGCCGCCTTCACTACTACTTTTTCTACACCTACTTCTTTACGGATTGGCTATACTATTCAGCTTTTTAATTCTGGCGGCTTAGGTAGGTAGGATTTCCGACATCAACGTCACTTCGTCATTCCAAGGTCACAGTCGTCACAGTCGCCACGGACGCCTTTCGGTCAGTTTTTACGTTTGCTACTCTCTTGCCCTGGCAGCAGCTTCAATCGTGTGTGGTTCGTCTTTCCCTCCCTCCTCCCTCCCTCCCTCCCTGGGCTGACTCCTCCACAAGTCGCGACTGGTTAGTTACTCCTTATTCACTTCTGGCGTATCAGTCTATCCTTGACATCAGCTTCACTCGTTCGTGATTCGTCTTCCATACCTACCTACCAACCTACGTGTCTGCCTGTTTCCCTGCTACCCGCCTCCCACAGCTACCCGTGTGGCTGTTCCTGACCCTCCTAATTTTTCTGGAGCTACCAACCGCCTACGCGCTGTACTACTTCCTGGACGGCCATGGACAGGGCCTGCTGGCCCGTTGCCTGCTGCTGCGGCTCGCTGTCTTTGGGGTGCTGCGGACGGCGGTGGTGATCGGAATTCAGGCGGCCTGGCGCGTGCAGTTCCTGGCGCGGCGGGCGGCGCAAGCCAAGCGCGACTGACGGCAAGGAAGGATGAAAAAGGGACGAGATCACAGCAAAGGGGCAAGGGACAAGACAAGGCGCCCCGACAACTAAGAACCTCTGTGCTGGGCTGGGCTGGACTTGGGCGAGGCAACTCGGGAAGTCGTGGCAGCAGCATGGATGAGATGTTGGGCTGTTGTGAAGGATGCGAGACACGGGCCCCAGCGAAGGAGGGGGACCGAGGGGAGGCCTTCAAGAAGGGGTGAGAAACGAAATGCGACTATATTTCTGCATAGCAATATCAATCTAGGCTAGTGGGGGCGCGGGTGCATACATGTGTGCTCGTGGGTTGGTAAGGTGTATACAGCGTGCGTCCACAACTGCGGAACGCGATTAGGTGTAAACTTTTGTTACATAAGTAGATCTGGCGGCCTACTAGGTTTGGGGACTGTTTTGGACGGTACCTCGCCGATGCCTGAGGGAGGAGGCGGCATGTGTGTTTTATATTGTGCCGGAATTGTTGTACCTTAGAAACAGGCGGCTAAGCTTCCATGCCAAGCCTTCTCTTCGCAATCGCGATGGCGATGGCTTTTGGCGGCGGCGGCGGCGGCTGGTTTGGCGCAAGCTGCGTAGCGTGCCGTTGACTGACGTAGGATGGCTTCATGTATTTTATATTTGAAATTTAATCGAGTGTTACTTATGCCGGTTAGGCGGTTATAAGCATGTACTGAAGAACGATTTTCCTTGGGCGTTTTCCTGACGGCTGGTGCCGGCGTGAATGGCGCCGTGAACTTGCAAGGTATGATGTTTGGTGGTTGTGCTATTGGTGACATTAACTGCCTCCGGTACGTAAGGAGGCAACAGTACTTGCGATATAGTCCTTTACGGCCTTTAGGCTGCCTTAGGTTGTGTTTGATGGTTGAAACAAGACAAGCAATTATGATACCTGACTCGCGTGCCGGCGACGGAGAAAATGTTTCTTTGGGGCGGACAGGGGGCCGTGAGTGCAGGCAAACTGCTTTAGGTAAATTCCTTTGGAAAATTTGTTTGGTTTGTGCAAAATTGTACGGCATTACGGGCTGTGCTTCGTGTGACGATGACTGGCATCCTGTCTTGCTGCACCCACATTTTACTTCTCTTCTGTGGTTAAGGGGTTAATGTGCGTAGCGTGTTCGGTGGTGGGTTGTGGTGGGCCCGGTGTGCACCAAATTAAGGGACCTGTTGCTGGCGCCGGGTTGACGCTTGCATTTGTTCGCATGGATTGTGTGGCCGACCGCTGGGATATGTATCATCGCAAGTTACGGGGACATGAGTTGCGCTGGGTAATGTGCGCGGCCGCGATTTCGCTTCTGCGAGATATTTGTGGGGTTTTGTTTCCATGCACCTACTCCCAGCCGTGCCCAGAGTGCCAAGTTCAGGTTTAGTGTCTTAAGGAAAGTTGTTGAGCATTTGCGCTTTGAGCATTTGCTCAGCACTGAAAAAGCTCCCAAGGAAGAATTTAAAAGGTTTCTAGGCGGTGAGTGTGTTCTGTGTGCCTTGGAAAGGGTTGGAAGGACCGTGCACTGTGCACTGGATAGGAGCATCCATGCAATGGCCTTGTTTTGTAGAGCGCTTGGGGATGTATATCCCGTTCATTCGCTAAGGCTATTACGGTTTGGGCTGGGCTTGCTCAACCAGTAGCATCTGTTGAGAAGTTGAAACCCGCCGCGATATGGCCGCGTGTGTGTGCGCGCGGTTTTGAGCGGTTCAGTTCTTGGAAGCAAACCGTACGGCCTGAGCTGTGGCCTGACTTTGATTGGCAGTGCTAACTTCAGGTGGGCAGTTGCCGCGGAGTTACCGCGGAGGGCTGGGATGTCCGATGATTAGCTTCGACAAGGGGCCGTCGCGCTCGTGCCAGTCAGCCGCTGGGCTGGGTCGCGGTCACTGGTTGGGGTGTTAGCCAAGGCGTGCGGGCTAGCTGTTGGCGCGTCCACTTCAGATGTAGGGTTATCTTGCCGCCCACATGTTGGTTTAAGCCCCAACCGTTGCGTCATTCACTTGCGAAAGTAAAGTGAGCATGGGTTTTTAATTTACCTGAACAGCACAAGGTGTTTATGTTGCTGGGCTCTGGAGGCAAACAGAGCACGAAGAGGCAAGTACCATGTCCCCAGGTTGCAGCGGTTTTGCCGCTGTTGTGGTAGTAATAGCCGAATCGATGATGAAAAACACGTGTTATTGGAATGCCCAGTCTATAATGATATTCGTGCTGAAGAGGGATTCGATCATCAACAGAGCATGTTGGAGGCCATGAAATGGGAACCAGCGCGTCTGGCGAGGGTGTTGGAACGTATCTGGGCTCACCAAAACTCAATTACCGCCTTTGGACGCTAGTCTGGGCTGATGTGCGGTGTTTCCTGTTTTCCAAGGCTTTTAGGCGTATAGATATCGCCCTTATGCCTTCGGCTCGTATGGGTAGTTTTACAGGTATGGGTTCACGCACCCCCAACCATGTAACACACACACACACACACACACACACACACACACACAAACACACACACACAAACACACACACACACACACAAGGTGTTTGTTGTAATTGCGCTGGACTAATACACCTTTGGGAATGGATAGATGTGGCGAAGCTCCGCAGCCGGCAACGAAGCGATTATATAATTTTGTCGCTCAGGAGACTGTTCTGGCGCCTTCTGGCTCACGGGTGAAAAGATAACCGTCCCGACACACGTGTCTTTCCTTCCTGCTCTGCCTCACGCGAAGCCTGCATTGTTTGGTGTTGCGCCGGCGTATGTGGGCGTCCGTGAAAGGGGCCGGATGTTTCAGTCGTCCGGCGGAATGAACTGTCATGTACTGCTTTTGGTCTTGCACCTTCGTGCCGTTCCGTATGGTTGCTACAGCTGTTGGGATGCTGCTAAGGCCCAAAGCTCCCATTGAAACCGAGCGCACAATTCCTATTCCGTTGAAGGGGCTATAACGTGCGAGGAACTGCAATTGCGCGATGAACAAGCCGCCTCTTGTACCGACTCCGGTACCAACAGGTAGTTGAAACGTCTGCGCTGCAGCGCATTCCAGGCGCAAGGGTGATTTAGAAGTGGACACTGAAGGATATTCTTCGGATATCCTGCAATGGCTATTGGCGTTTGCAGAGAAATCAGGCGACTTGACAACTGGTAGGGTGGGAGCGTATGATCTTCAGGGAGGTTGCAGCTACCACCTTATGTTTCTGGATATGCTGGCTTGTTATATAAAGCAATAGAACTATTTCCGCAGGTACCGGTAAGGCAGGATTTGTCATTGGTTCCATATGCGAGTAAATAATTATCATAAGCTGCTTTAGGCAATGCTATACAATTAGATCTAATATCTCGACGAGAAACCCATGCCACATGCGCAGGGATTTGTAGTACGAAAATTATGAGTGTTTCGTTATGTGTTGATGAGTTGGTTTGCGCAGAGTACTTTGACGCGCGTTGCTGAACCTTCAGACGTCGTGTTTAGCGACTCAGGGTACGGTGGGATCCCTTACGTACATTGGCACTCTCGACTCGTCGCTTGGCTTTTCATGCGTTATTACTTTAGTTACATGCAAATAATGACAATATCAATATGTAGCAAAGGCGACGGGCCATCTGCTAACTGCAAGCATGATTTGCTGTTTTAGAGGACCTGCTTGCGGGCAGAAATCAAAATCCTCGCAACAAGCTACGATAGAGCGAATACATGACCTAAAGCTTGTTGAGGACGCGCCCGCACCGTGCGTAGAGAATGTGGTAGCTAGTTCTCCGGTAGGACAGACGGCGCAGCGACAAGCTGGCCCCGATCTAAGCCAATATGATTTTCTGGAACCGTGGCGCGCTCGGTTGTCGGAGCGCTTGGTGGGCTTGCTATCTAGCAATAGGCTCCGGGTTGCTGGGTAAGGCAACACTGAAGGCTGCTTCATGGAGGAATTTGACAACAATCTGCAAAGTTTATTCATTTGTGCAGATGTTGGGTTAACTCCAAAGAGCATGGGAAAAGTTTCCTCGTAGCGGCAGCACCCAGCGCAGTAGGGAGCACTCTTCGATCTGCCCTGCATGGCTCCTTCGAAGGCTCTGTAATCGACCTGGGAAATGATAGAACCTCGAGCGTTGCTTGCGCCACTTCAACAAAGGTATTGTTGCCTGCGATTGGCGAGCTTGTTTACACGGTACTTGCGGGTACTATCCGTAATCATAATATCTTGGCTGCTTTTCCTTAGGCACCGGTTTCTGCGTTGGTCCTGGCGAATGGGCAAGTTCAGGGCGACATGCAAGCGGACCATCGTCAGCTTTGTGACAAACTTCGCCGCACGGTTGCCATCTTTAGCGGCGGACCAAGCAGCACAGCTACTGGCAGTCTATGGCATCTTACAACCCTGCCCCTTCTGGCCCATCGCGAGGCTGTTGGCGCTTTAGTCCTGGTAGGCCAGCTGGACTTTCCGGTGGCCAACCCAAGCCTGGACGGACTACATGCAAGGGCAGCGCTGGAAGCGGCTAAGATTCCTCTTATAAAGGCCACAGCTGAACTGGCGGACGAGTTCTTCGCAACGCCAGCCTCGCTCGCCTGCGCGCAGAATGTACGTACGTACCCGAGGACAGGTTACGGGGTGGTCAACCTACCAGCAGGTGTCAGGGACAAGATCTCCCATGCTAGTTTTCCAGGCACCAAGCAGCACGGGGTGGGCAGACATGTCAGTTGCTTGCAACACCTGACGAGAGGGCTTTGGTTTGGGAGGCGCCCACTGGTTCGCCATCAGAGTCCATGCATCAGGGCTAGGACGTCTAAAATTCGCGAGATGGGCAAAAATCTGCAGAGCTGCCTCATCCTTGACGAAAAATATAGCGCTGCAAGATGCTGCTTCAGCTTCAAGGGTTTGCCATTTGTTTTCCCGCAAACACACAGGGCACGCACCAAGCCCGTTACCTGAGTTCAGACGCATGCGGGACTTTTTTGCTTTGTTTTTCCCCCTTCCACGAAACAGTCCCCCGGGCCCCAATTCCCTTCCCCTCTCTTCCGTAGGTCGCGGCGCTATTGGCGGCGGTTTGGACTGCGCCCGATCATGCGGCAGCAGTGCGCAATGCAGCATTGCAAATTCACGCGCTCCTCCCCAGCATCACCATCCCCACGACCAACACCGCCGAGCCGTCCTCACAGTCAGCACTCCCCACGGTGGCAGCTGGAGCAGCTGCGACATCAGCAACGCCACACATGCTGCCGCACGAGGCACCGCAACCACAACCGCCGTCACCACAGCAGCAGCAGCAGCAGCGACTCGTGGTGACGACTGGCCTAGTAATTTCCCGCGCGGCAACATCTCGCTCCTGTGCGGCAAGTATCAACATCCCTGCCAACGGCACCACATCAACCCTTTCCACAACGACCACTAACACCACAACCACTGCCGCCCAGATTAACAACGTGACGAACAGCAGCAGCAGCAGCGCTGTGCACACGGCTCCCTCGACCCTAGCTGGCCCTGTGCTGCACCTCTACCACAGCTCCAGCGGCAGATCGAACACAACCTTGCCGGCTGCTGAAACCCTCGTCACACGCGCCCCGATTCAAGCAGACGTGCTTGCCGCGATGCTGAGCGAAGCTCTGGCAGCGCCCGTCAACAGCGCAGCGCTGGCGGCGGCGCAGGCGCGGGGAGCCCAGGCCAGCGGCGGCGGCGGCACCGCCGCCGCCATCGCCGCTGGCCGGACAGGGAGTGTGATGGGGCTGCCGCAACCGCCACCACCACCACCGCCGCCGAAGCAGCAAAGGCATCAAAAGCTTCTCGCCCTGCGATGTCCCGAAGACGAGCTTCCGCCCTCTCAACCGCGTGCTGACCTTGAAGCCCTGGAGGCGGCCGGTGCCCGTGCGCCGCGTGGCTCTGTGGTGATGGTTTCCTGTCCCTTGCCCAGCATCATGTGCACTGTGGTCGTGTACGTGTGCGTCGCGCCGCCACAGCAGGCGGTTGCTACGGCGACGGCAGCCGCCTGTCCAGCCGCAGCGGCAGCCGCCGCGAGCTGCCGCCAGGCCACCGCGACGCCCGGTGGGACCGCCCTCTTTGGGGGATCTGGGAGTAATATCAATCCTGCTAACCATGGCGCGGCGCTACAGCCGCCCGGTTCCGCTCCCGTTCCGTGCGGGCCGTCCTCCTGCTGTATGGCACAGCTGCCCCAGGCACAGCTCAACCTGATCCTGAGGCACCTGAGCAGCGCCGTGGAGGTAGGTAAAGTAGCACTTGGCGGTTGGCGGTTGGCGGTTGCGACTTCGAAGCTTCAAGGCAGCTGCTCTCGAAACCCGCAATAACCTTTTCCCCCAGTGACCCAGATGGTAATCGGCAGCGAAATAGTTATCTGGGTCGTGGCCACAAAGTCTTAAGGAGACGTACGGGGTGGTTGTGAAGTGACGGTACAGAAATACATCTCATGAGCCGCTGTGCCATCAGGACTTGCTGGCAGTGCATCATACTTCATTCGACATGTGCAGAGCTCTTTATGCGCACTATCCGGCGAGGGAGATCATCCGGGCTGGCGACAGGCAGCTGGTCGTCGTTTCCAAGCTGGGACTTCCATTAAGGCCGGGCCCTTGTTGAAAAGGGGGCCCGGGCGGCCTCGCGGGGGCCGGCCGTATCCCTTGTGGCGGCAGCATAGCATGACATGACATGACGTGACATGACGTGGCATGACGTGAAATAGCATGCGGCCCACGACTTACATGAGGCGCCCCTTTGGTGGGCCGCCTCCCCCTGCGCCACCTGCTCCATTCGCCACTAGTGGTTCGCCTGAGAAACGTCTCCCTGCGCCCCGCACATGTGCGCAGATCATGGCCAGCGCACTGGAGCAGCGGATGCTTTCCAGCTGCGCTGCATCCCCCCAGGCGCGATTGGGCAGCAAGGGTCCGTGCGCTGTGGACGTCACCGCTAGCACAACGGGGCTTCTGACGGTGTCAATTGCTGGCACGGATGGTGAGGCAACCGAAGGGATGATGATGTGGGTCAGCGATAAAAGGTCGCGTCATATGGGATTTGGGCGGCAGTGGTAATGTGCATATAGCCCGGCCCGCCGCCCACCGCACCGCGGTTACGCAGCTTGCCCTTGCCCTTTACTGTATCTTGTTCCACCTTGCATCCATCGCTGTGCTCTGCTCTCCTTCCCTATCGCAGCGGGCGAGGACTCTAACGGCTTCTGGGGGAGCGCCAGCGGGCCTATCCTCAGCGGCGAAACCATCGCCACCTCGCAGCTAAGCGCCAACACTGCCAACATCCCCACGAGCCAATGCAACAGCCACAGTGCTGGCTGCACCTCCTCCAGCCACGGAGGCCAAACCCGAGCTCTTCAGAAGGCCATGAATATGGACGTTAAGGCAGCGGCAGCATTGCCACCACCGCGGGCGTGGGTGTCGGCGGCGGCAAACGTCGCTGTTGCCGCCGCGTCGGCACCCAGTCCCTTGACACCGAGCATCTTTACAGTGCCTGAGGTCACTGGTTCGAATCCGTGCGTGCTCGCTGCTGATGATTCTGACGATCGGTCTTCCGGCTACGTGACGCCGACGGAGGAGAATGATTTGGACAGCTTCACTGAGGGGCTCGTCGGGGGCGAAGTGATGATTTCTACCACCGCAGCTACCTGCGCTGCGCAGCAGCATCACAAACAGCACCAGTTCCAACAGCAGCAGCAGCAGCAGCAGCAACAGCGCCCTGGATTGCACATGGGCGCTGTTGGTGGCGCCGGCGCGTCCCTGGGGTCTGGTTTGGCAGGATCTGAAGCCCTGACGGCTGGGCCTTCGCTGGCGAAGCTGCCCAGCACGGCGAGGCGGCAGGCCGCGGCCAAGGCGACAGCGAGCGATACGGACGTGTTGGAGGACACTTCCGCGGAGGCTACGGAGGGTACAGCAGCTGCGGCGGCCACCACGACGGCCGTCGCAGCGGCGGGAGTCGCCTCCGGTGTCCAAGGAGCCAGCAGCTCCGCCGCCGTCTATTGTTCCAGCACCAGCGGTTCCTCCGGAGTTGAAACCACCATTAATGCCCTTGCTCTTGGCCAGATGGACAGTCCCTGTCTCGGCGGCTTATCGGCTTCATCCTTCGCGCCCGGTGGTGGTGGCGCGCAAGCGGCGGCCTCGGTGCGCGGCGCAGGGCCAGGGCTAATGGCATGTGAAGAGCAGTTGTTGGCAAGAAGTGGAAAGCAGCTCCCGGCTCTAGGAATGCGCGCATTGCAGACAGGAGGCAGGCGGATATTGTCGTCGTGCCGCAGTAGCCCAGCGGCTGCCGCCGCCGCCGCCGCTGCCGCCGCCGCATCCATGAGTCCTGCCGCTGGGCTGGGGCTTTGCTCCCTTCCGAACACCGGCATCACGCTACAGCCTCCTAGCGGTGGCCCGGTTGCTACTGCTTCTGCTACTGATACTGATACGATTTCTGTATATGATGCGCCAAACGCCGGATTAGCTGCTGTCTTGCCTGTTGGAGGTGCTGCCACTGCGTCGGCGGTGCCGCCGCTGCTGCCGCCGCACGGCGCAGGTTCTTCCAGTAAGCTGCTGCTCGCAGCGGCGGCGGGCCTGGTGCTGCCACCGGCTGCCGAGAATGCGATTCCGCTGCTGCCTGCCAGCACCGGCGCAGCAGCAGCAGTAGCTGGAGGCGCCGGCTGCAGCGGTCGCGGCGGCGGCCCGGCATCTAGCAGTAGCGGTGACCGCATGTCACGTGTGATGGTGCGCAATCGATCCAAGGACTGGTCCGACCAATCTAGTGAACCTGAGGGCGCCTTGGACTGCAGGTGCGTGCACCCCGCAACTCCGGTTTGTTTCCGGCTTAATCCCGAGAGCGCGTTGACCGTCATACAGCTTTCCTGCGAAATTACTCAGCTATCTGCAGCGGTTTGAGCTTGCGCCGCCGCAGCACAGCTGCACGGCTTTTGCGTGGTAAGGGGCGTACATGGTGTGAGTATATGAGTGCTGTCGGTTGCGCTTTGTGTCAATAATTAATGACGAGGACGTCACCTAAAATCACTAGGTAAGCGTGGGCAGTCTCTGTTTGAGACGCCCTAAATATGGAGCTTTCTATGCATAAGCATGACGTGGTTCTTCGTTTTCCATTTTTTCGTATTCAGGTTTTCGCTGACGGGCGAAGTGGGGGCTGCTGTTACTGCCGCCGCGGCGGCGCGGCGGCGGCCTATGAAGGTGCTGTCCTTGGACAAGGCCGCTCAACAGCTGCAGCGATCCTCGGGCTCATCGCTGGCTATGACCATGCAACCCGCCCTGCCACCGCCGCCGCCGCTGCTACAGCTGCCCCCAGCACTGCAACAGCCGCTACCGGATTATGCCCCTTACCAGACCCTGCAAAGTGTCATGACGTGCGACAGACGGGGGCAGTCCGCGGGCGGCTCTGCGGCGGCGGCTGCTTCCGCGCCGCCGCCACCGTACGTGCCGTACATGCCACGCCGACTGAACCGCATGTACCTGCAACCCGCAGCCCTGTTCACGTCCAACTCCAGCGCAGCAGCTGGCGGCGTGCCGGTATCTGCCGCTGGCGTGGCCGCAAAGGCAACGCTGCTTGGCGGACCGTACGGTACCGTCTTGGTGCCTCCGCCGGCGACTGCAGCGGCGGCGGCAGCGGCGTCAACGACGACGTCGCTGGCACAGCTGCCGCTGCATCTAAAGCAGCAGCACGTCCAGCTCACCGCGCGCGCAGTGGGCCGCGTCGGCGACGCCGCTGCCGCGGGGTCGCGGGCGGCCGCCGCCGCCGGACAGTTCAGTCTCTTTGCCTCCGTTGCCGCCAATGGCGCTACACACGGATCCACATCGAATGCTACAGCACCCTCAGGGCGTTCCCTTCCTACGGCAGTAGCAGATCCCAGTTCAGCAGCAGCAGCAGTAGATGCAACTCCCTCGCCACTTTGGCCGTCAGCAGGATTATTCTTTCCCGCGCAGCAGCTGCAGCAGCAGCAGGAGCGTACGGTGCAACCTGCGTTTGCGGCCACCGTGGCGGCGGCCCGCGCCGCAAGTGCGGGTGCGGGCGCTGAGTGTCCCACCCAAGCCCCCGGTGGCAGCCAAAAGAGCCGCCAGCTCAGCGACTACGCCATTCCTGAAGATGCGCCCCTGGAGTATACGGTTTCGGAGACGGTCCAGATGATGCGGATGCTGGCGCAGGCACGTGGCGTGCACCTCTCATCCCGCATGCGCCGTGTGCGAGTGACGGCCAAGATTCAGTCCGCCCACCCCGACACGCTGCCGGCGGACCTGCCATCCCAGATTGCCCAGGCGGCGCTGCTGGCGCCTCACGCTGGCACTGCCGCTGCTGGCGGCGGGGGCCTGTTTGCTGACCGCCCGCGGGGGGGGAAATCTCCTTGGGTTTTGACTGCCGTCGCGGCGCGGCGTGGCTGCGTGGAGCTCGTGTTTGACGTGGTCCAAGTTCGCGGCGGCGGCGGCAGCGGCATGATGAGCAGCAGCGGCAGCCAGCCTCATGGCCTAGCGACACAGAGCCCGGTCCCTGGCCATGCAACTTCCCGGGTCGCGTCTGGTGCTCAGTCCAACCAACATGCCCTCGGCTTCACGGCGGCGGCACCGACGGCGGCGCAGCCGCATGCGCATTGCCGGCCGGGAAGTAGTGGCTACCGCCGATGGCAAGGCGGCGGCATGGACTTGTTATCGGATCCGCTGCGGCTGCGGGTGGAACCTGAGGATGTATCAGAGCGGCTGGCGGCGAAAAGCCCGGCGGCGGCGGGGGCAGCGGCGGTTGGGGAGCAGCTGTGGCTGCGCCATGCATGCGGCTTGCGGCCGGAGGCCGTCGCGGAAGTACTGCACAGTTGCGGTTTGTTGAATCCCGCCAGTGACCCGTACGTGGATATTCAGATCGGGCACACATCCGCGGGCGTTGGGACGCTGGTGTGGCATGAGGCAGCGGGGCAGTGGGTGATGTCCGCCGGTTCCGCTGCCGGCGGCGCGCCGGCAGCGGCGACGGCCGCCGCCGTCACCTCCGCCGGCAGTGGCGGCGGCGGCGGCACCGACATAACCACCGGATCCGACGACAGCTCCCTAGAAGCACCGACGCTGTGGCTGCCAAGCTCCGTGACGCTGCTGGCCCCTGGGTCTCGCGTCCTGAAGGACATTCGCGTTGTGTCCACCTCGGGCAGCTGCGGCGGCGGCGGTGGACGCCTCGGCGGTGACGTCATCGACGAATGGACGGTTCGCTCTGCGTATGGCTACCTTCCGGCCCGCGTTGCTGCGGGGCTGCGCATGCACGCCGGAGGCGCCGCCGGCAGCGGCAGTTCTGTCGTGCCGCTGCCGCTGCTGCTTGAGGACGATCCTGTGGCGGAGGCGCTGGCTGACGGCGCCTGCATCTGGAGGCTCATGGATATTGGCGGGCCGCTGCCGCGTAATGGCGGCCTTCTGCTGGTGGAGTGCCGTCGTACACTCGCCGCAGCCACTGCCGCGGCGGACCGCAGTGCTCCGGTGGGAGCGTCGCTCGTGGACCCGGCGCTCCCTGCCGCCGCCGCGGCAGTAGTAGGCGCAGCCCCGGCCGCCGTCACGAGCGTGCCGGTACCGCTGCTGGTGCTACCGGAGCGGCACGCCGCCGCGGCGGCGGAGTTGGAGCGAGTGCGCGTGTATATGGCACGAATGTTGCTCGGGTCGGAGAACGTCCTGCGTGCCGCCAGCAGTACGCAGCACGCCGGGGACGCGTCAGCGGCGGCGGCGGCGGCGGCAGCGCGCGCAGAGGCGGCGGCGCAGGTCGAAATGGCCTGCCAGCAGTTCCTAATGGATATAGGCGTACTGCTCGACGCGGCAGCCAGTGCCGCTACCCCCACCGCCGCGGCGCCCGTGGCAATGGCCCCGTACACGAGAACGACCGCGCCGACCTTGGGATCAGCTCCTGGGCCTAGCTCCTGTCCCCATCCGGGTGTGTCATCTACTAGCGGCGGTGCTGGAGCGGGTGGCGGCGGCATTGTACCTGGCGGCGGCGGCGGCGCCGACGCATCAAGCGGCACCGGCAGCGGCCTCCGTCCGCCGCCGCACAGCTTTGACGAGCCTCGATCTGCATGCCATGTCAAGAGGCAACAGCTTGTGGACCTGCAAATAAGCCCAGTGTGCACTACCGACGTTTTCTCTTCCACACCGTCATGCAGCTCTCCGCTGACGCTGCTGGGCGGCTGTGGCGCGGGCCCTGGCAGCGAGCGGCTGGTAGGATGGACCAGCGAGCCGGTTGGTGGCGGAGGCGGCGGAGGCGCCGCCGCTGACGCCGCCGCTGACGCCGCCGCCGTCGACGATATCTGGAGCTTCTCCAAGGACATGAAGGCTTTGATGCGGGCGCATCGTGTCGATCCCGGCGTTGGGTCTAACGTTACAATTGGGCCCGTCAGCAGCGGCGGCGGCGGCGGTGGCGGAAGCGCCGCCGGTGCTGCTTCCGCCGTCATCGTCGGTGGCGGGTACGGCTTTACGGAATTCGGCGAGCACTTGATGGATGTGGCCTGTACTGCACTGGCGGGCTGCTGTGCCGCAGGTATGCATGCCACGGCGGTGATGGTACTGCACGCCGCGTGCTGGGAGCTGTCTCTGGCAGCGCCGGAGGTGTTGCTGGCGGAGGCTGGAGCCGACCCACGGGTCAGACTGCAGTTGCTGTCGTCGTATACTGCCCGCTGCCAGAAAAGCCCCCCCAGGGATGGCGTCGGCCGCAACGCTCCGGCCACCGCCGCCGCCACCGCCACCACAGGCCCTGCCGTCACCTTGCCAGCATTGGGCACGTGCTTGGCCATGGACGGTCCCGTCGGCCTGGGTGCCGCCGCCGCTGCCGCTGTTGCTACTGGTTCTACTAGTAAGGACCCAGACGAGAGCATAACGCTGGACACCGCCGGCATTGGCGCTGCCGTTGCCGCCGCCACTGGCGGCGCCGAAGCTGCGTCGGAAAGCTGCGTCTTTGCCCGTACTCCTGTTCGCCTCAGCCGCAGCGAACCAGAGTGGGGCCTCACTGCAGACGAGCATGCGGCGGCGGCGCCGGTGGCGGCGGCCAACAGTACGCTCAGTCGGAGCCACAGCCACAGCCTGGCGATGATGTTGGTGGGCGGCCCCACCAGCCCGCTGGCCATGCAGGTGCGGATGGGGGACGAGGCGATATCTGGCAGTAGTGCGGAGTTCATGGGCTGGCATCAGGTCCCTGCCGGGAATAGTACGGCAACGGAGCCAGGCGGGG